GGTATAATCAAAGAACCCGCCTTCGAAGTCCACCAGTCATCCCGCATCCCACCAATTCACCCACCAAACACCCCCTCAACCCCCAGCAAAGCCCAAATCGCCCAGTGGACCCTGGGCCAATTAGTCAGCGACTCCCTCAGCCCTACAGTAACGGGCGCCGAAGCAGAAGAATACGAACGCTACATCAACCACCCGCTCACAGTTCCGCTTGTTGTCACATCCGAAAATGAAATGACAGCTGCCTCGCTCCGAGACCACGGTTATAACCTGGATCTCCTTGAGTACGCGAATAAATGCAATGTGGAAGAGTTGGCGCTGGAAGCGAATGCTGAGGAGAATCTGGCTGATTATGCTGAGTTCTTGCATGTCTCTGAGGAGGGTCTTACTGTTGTTAGTGAGGATTATGAGAAGAAGAGGTATAAGCGGTATCGGCAGTGGTTGCGTGGGAAGAGTCTTTTTAAGCAGCGGGTCGATTCATGATGTTACGAATATTGAGGGTTTGAGTAACTTCTTTGGCGTTACATATTGTAAATTGATACCCTGATTTGAATTGAATATTCACATTCCATTGATGCCATTTCATGGAGACTTTTCTCTTCCTATCTTACATGCAACACTTTATGCTACAAATCAAAGAAATGGAACGGAAGATACCACCGACTCAAATCTTTATCTCTTCAATGAACATTCCGGACAGGAGTCTGATATCTGTCAATATTCGCTTAGAAGAAAAGCCCCGTAAGCACCGGATCAGCCTCAACAAGCTTCTCCACATCCCCAACCATATTCTCCTTAGCTTGCACCTGCTCCTTCTGAGACTCATCACCAGGTATAGTAACAGGATTCTGCAAGACATGCAACAAAAGCTTAACAGCAATCTTCAACTCGTTCTCCAGCATTTCCTTCATTTCCCTAGAAGTCGAAGGATCCTCAGCAGCATGAATCCACGCCGAACACAACCCACTCAGCAGCTCACCGCGCCAACGCCAGATACGCGGGTGTCCATTCTTAATCACGCTTTGGAGAACCATTGCTGCACTGAGCGTGAGGCCGAAGTGGGAGTGTTCCATTCCGAAGGGGTTGGAGAGTGTAGTGTAAAAAACAGGGATTAGGTCCTGGAGGTATTTCACGGTGTTGATACCGAGTTCTTCGACAAAGCTGCCTGCCATTGTTAGGAGTTGTGCTGAGAGGCGCGGGTATGGGAAGGAGGTCTGGGTTGAGGCTGCGGCTGGGGTGCTTGAACTGATGTGGTGCAGTGAGGAGATGATGTTTGAGCGGAGGATTTTGGCCAAGCTGTTTATGTAGGTTTCTTGGTCCTTGGCTTTGTTCTTTGAGGAGGGGCTTTTGTAGGCGGTTTCGAAGAGGACTAGGAGGGCTGGGTATGCTTCTCCTAGGCAGTATATGGAGCTTTCCTCTGGTGTGATGGTTGGCAGGGAAAGAAGACATGGAGTTATGGCGTCTTGGAAGACGGAGGTTAGGTTTGTTCGTTGGAGGATATCTGATCTGCTGTCTTTGACTCGGACTAGTAGGTTTTTGAGCAAGTCGCATCCAATCGTTTTGAAGTAGATGTTGCTGTCGTCGATCATAGCGAGGATGGCTGGCACGTAGAGCGGGAAATGTTCTTCGAGATATTTCTTGTTCCCGGGCTAGTATCAATGTCAGTGGTGAACGTGCGGTGAAATGTTGTGGGATGGCATACGGTGTACCGCTCTATCATCCACTCCAGGGCAGTCGCAACGTAGACATCGGTTGTCTTCCAAGGTTTGGCCGATTCATCCATGCCGTCAAATCGTGGGACGGACTGGGGATGGAAGTTCTTGCGGCCGGCGGCGGTGATGGCGGGATTCGGAGTCTTTGCGAACAAGGGCCTGATACGTTCCTTCAGGATGAACTCGATAGCAGGCCAGAACTTGTTGGTCTGTTCAGTAACCTGAAGCCAGTGGTTCGTCAACAGTGATGCATTCATGGCACTGCGAGATGTTGACCATGGCACTTTTTGGCTAGTAGAGCACGCTAGAGCGAGAGTGACATCGGCGACGGCAACATTGTCAAGTATGTGGCCTGGAAGGCCGGGAAGTAGCTTGCCCAGGCTCAGCAGAAGCTCTATAGCCAGCTCTGATTCATACTTGCTCTCGTTCTGAGCCCTTTTGGCATCTGTTTTGCTGTTAGACCGTTTGTTCACTTTCAGGAAGCTTCGACCGCGCTTCAGGCGACGTACCCGCGGTAGGCTCGTCAAACTCGGTCGAGTTTGTCGAGACCGAGTATGCCGCGCTCGGCAGAACGACCGCGCTCGCCCACTTCAATATTTTGTTCAACGCCTCATTTTCGTTCTGTGTGAAGGGTCGTGGGCTTCCATTCTCCGGCAACCATGGCTGGACGTACTCGACATAACTGAGCATGGAAGCGATACTCTCGCATCTCTACATTCTCAGTCTTCTGTTTTCTTTTTTTCTCAATGGGCAAACTCACGTTCAGATGGCTCGAATGGTCATAGGACTCAACATTCTGCCAGACTTGAGGCAAATCACACTGGGATACAGCAATACGGCCAGGGGCGAAGTCATGCGGGAACTGCCCAGGCTTCTGCATGAGAGTCCTACGGACTTGGGTGCGAAGTTCATCCATAACGAAGATAGTTGAAGATGGCAAGTTAAAGAAGTGAGGGATCTCCACTAGGTTTATTTTTGTGTCATCTGACTTCATAACCCCAACTCTGCTCGTCGACCCGCGATCTCTGCCAGTACCTGTTCCTTGTCGGCATCACGATGTAGCAACTGCCATTCAAGCGCCATATTAACTGCTTTGCTCATCCACGGTCCTTTTTTGGTTTCTAGTCTATTCATAATTTCATCGCCATTTACAATTGGTCGGAGGTCGCACACATCCTCCAGGTCGTTTTCTACGATGTATACAAGGAACTGGTCGTACTCGACAACCACTACATAGGGTTAGAAAAATACCACAAAATGCAGAGAAGGACTCTTACCGTCTGCGAAGTCACGTTTTCTCATGACTTCTTGCATGATTGCCAGAAGAATGCAAAGTTTCCAGTCCTTGTTCCATGAGCGAATTTGCAATCCAATGCGCTGTCGGATTTCTGCGGGTGTTCCCCTCAATTCATTGGCAAGGAGTGCGGTTTTGGTCGTAATAATCTCTTCGAAATGCAGAGCCGCGGCGCGCAGTACATTGAGCGTCTTGTTATCGGTGCGAAGACTGTCTTTTCCGACCTCGACTGCCCGTGGGGGGATTGGCTTCGCTTTCGCGCCCTTGACCGTGCGGCCGGGGACTGAGGACCAAGGAGCAAATGTTGCGACCATCCATGCATAGTAGCTGGTTTCATCGCTGGTGGTAATATCACGAATGCGTTTCGCAGCCGACTGAACCTCTTCGCTATCCTCGGACTTTGGGTGCAGCAACCGTGCCAGCGTGTTGTATGCGAGAGGCCATGTCGATGTATCGGCCTTGGCATTATCCTGATGATTAGCGAAGATAGTGGGATATAGCTTAAGTCGGTCGATGAACTCCAATGCGCCGCGGGGGTCAGGCCCTGGATGTTATGGTTAGAAAAGCACATGATCGGTTAATGCAACTAACTCACCACGTAACATCTTTTCGAGCTCGGTTCCCACGCGTTCTTTGCTGATTTTCAGCTTCAGTGCCTCGCCGATATCTTCAATCTGCATAGCGGCCTCTGTTTCATGGTCGATTTGGTATCCCAGTCTGCTTGCAAACCGGATCAATCTGAGCACGCGCAGTGGATCATCTTTAAAGGTTTGGTATGGCTCCATGGGGCATCGAATGGTCTTCTTCTTCATGTCATCCAGACCCCGTTCAGTAAGATCCTCCAGCCGCGATTCGTTGAGGTTGTAGAACAGCGCATTGATGGTTGCATCCCGCCTCAAAGCGTCCTCAACTGCGGTACCGAACTCCATCTGTGGGTTGCGACTGTCGTCTGAGTATGTCTCTTTCCGTAGATTGACCAAATCAATGTCGAGACCAAAGATCTTAGTCGTGACAGTCTCCAGGTGCTTCGATTTCTCCGGGTTGGCCTCGATCTTGTGAAGGCTCACAATAGCATCATGCATTTCTCCATCTGGTAGGCCTTTTTTGTACTTTTCCAGGCGTTCCGGAACGTCCAGGTACTCTTTGAGAGCCATACCAAACTGGAACCCAGTCATACTGCTGATTCCCACATCGATGTCATGGCTCTCGACACCGAGCAGTTTGTCTCTGACCCAGCCTCCCGTGAACCGCAAAACAATCTCGGGGGTATCTTGGCCTCCCTCAGATAATTTCTTTTCTCGAATGTAGTTTGCGACGTCGAGGAGGAGAGTTCGCAGGGTGCTCTCAATCGGAGTGAGCTCGAGAGTCGGCACGGCGGGGTTCATGGTTGCAGATGAAGCTTCCCGCTGAGGAGAAGGAATGCGTCGCCTCTTACTGACTCGCTCTGAGAAGTGAGAGTCTAATTCGCGGTTGCGCATCGACGGGCGACAAGGTACAGAATAAGTTCGGAGGGGAAGAGCTTGAACTGGGCATGGACGTCGTGTTTTTCTTGCTAGAGTGCGGGCAAGTGGAGTAAGAGAAAGACCAGATGACTCAAAGAAGAGCCCTAAAGAGCGCAGCCTCATTGAACATACCTAGTGGTGCGCAAGTTAAATGAAACTGAGTCACGTCTGATCGTCGATAAGGTCTCACGTGGGAAGATCATGTAACCCGCCTTCACTACTCTACGCTCTACACTCTACACTTCAACATCCCACTTCGAATTTCGAGATACTTCGCAAATACCCAGTTTCAGTCTGGTGCTCGTTTTGTCGATTCGCTTCTTTGTCCCTGCCAGCGCTAATCGGGCCGAATCCCTCAACTTGGCTTTCTCTCCCAACAACACCTCCGTGAAGCCGTAACAACCTACCCTATTACACCCCAACCTCAGATCCCAGTCGATGGGGCCTGCCAATCAACTTCACTAGTTTCAGTTTTACACAGAGCAGCGGTTGTCCATGACATCGCCCGGAGATGCTACTCCGGTCAAACCTCCGCCGTCCTTCTCCCCCGGCGTTACGCGAGTCGCCTCCCCATCACGATACCCGGAGGAGCATGAATCAGCTCAGTCTATAGATGTCCAACTGGCCGAATCCCAGTCAGCCTCATCATCAACCCCTCCTCTCTCAGCCACCATTTCCGACTTACCGATCCGCTCCGGCTCGCCGCACTCGCGCTCTGGGAGATCCTCCACCCCGCAATTAGCCAGGTCATCCATCGGTTCGCCTTTCGATGGACGGGCAGATGGCTCGGAAGATATCAGATCATTAATCATTCGGTCCTTCTCGCCTACAATCGCTGTTCATGCATCCGAGGATACTGAACACTTGGTGAGGAACAAAGGGTTCAAGGGGGGATTTTGGGAGTTGATCCGGCCTTTTGGGGAGACTGTCTCCGGGAAGGTGGTAATACGGGATAGCATAGGCTCAAGTCGTGCCTGGGAAGACTATGGAGTGCGCTTTGTCAATTTCAAGGGGATCGGCAAGTCTACGCCAAGCCGAGATTCTGGGCCGCTGGCGCAGATGGAGGAGGTATTGACGAAACAGCTGGATTCTTCGGAGGGTCTCATGGGCGCATCAGTACGGGCAAAGGATGTGCTGGGATTCCCTGCAGCAACGCCATTGTTCAAATCGTACCTTCAACAACTTCTGTGTGTCGCACCCGCAGCGCCTCATGAGACATTCGGCCATCCCGTGGCCAATGTAATAGCCATCAGCTCTCGCAATCCGGCTCCACTGGAGACGCTCAGGCAGCTATATGCGGACAGTACGACTGGTGACAGACACCTTCCCGACTGGGTCCATCAAGAGTATCTTCGGTATTATGTCCTGGTCCATGATGAGGAACGAGATGATATCACGGAATCTACCAAGCTTTACGATCAGATGAAGCGACACTTTGGGCTACATTGTCATCTTTTAAGGCTTCGGAGCAGTCAGTGCGTGGTGACAGATGATGATAGTGTACAAGTTCCCCAGTGCGAATGGCTCTCGCCTTCAGAGCATTTGTCGGGGGCAGGTGAAGCAGGCACGTTAATTTCAAACCACGGTCGGAAATTTGCTAACTTGCATTCAGAAACATTGGTTGACCTAGGCACCGATGGCACACCATATCTCTTTGATTCCGATGCAACTGCAATTAGGGCCTTCATTCGGGAGCTAGTTGTGCAATCTGTGATACCATTCATGGAAAATAAAGTGGCTGTTTGGAATGATCAAGTCGCATCGCGGAGGCGCGGTATCAGTGGAAGGTTTATATCAATGTCAAAGCGATGGGCTTTCGGATCAAGTTCGCGCTCAGGTATCGCAGGCTCGTCAGGTGGCAACAGTGGAAATTACGATTCAACGCAGCACTTCTACAGTCCAGATTCCCCTGAGGCTGTTCTACGGAAGATGGCAGACTTTGCATTCATGCTCCGCGACTGGAAGCTTTCTACGTCCACATACGAGATGATCCGATCGGATTTCGGCAACGACAAAGCGTGGAAATATCACGCCGGTGCCCACGAGATGTGCGCTGTCAGCATGCTTCTAAATCCACTGGCCACGTCAGCCAAAATCAAGCTTGATAGCGTGGACCAGTTGTTCGAGACTGCCTGCTATTCCTATCTCACGCGTTGCTCGGACGTACCACATGCACTCCGTTGTCTTTCTCTGGCAGTCGAGCTTCTCAAATCTCGTGGCGGGTCAGCCACCGAGAGCGCAGCCAAATGGGCCATGCGGGTCATGGACTTTGGGCTGGTTGGTTCGGTGGGTCAGATTCTGTACACCGAAAGGGTAGCAGCGTGCTATGCATCCAAGACACCAGTTGGTGCAGCGAAATGGGGTGGGCGCCGCCGAAAAGCCGGAATGTGGAGTACGCTCGCTGCAGACCAATGGCTCAAGGCCGGCAAACCAACACTTGCTTCAGCCTGTCTGGAAGAAGCCGAACGTCTCTATGCTGACGTATTGGAGGCAGATGGTGTGTTCCCAATGCCTGAGATGCAAGGTTTTGTCGACAACCTGCGCCATGCTGTCAAAGTTGAATATCTTGAGGCTAGAGGATTTGACGCCAGAGATAGATCTCCCAACGAAGACCCCCTAGATACTGAAGAGACCAGCGAAAAGCTCGACAAACGCAGCCATCGCCGTTCTCTGATTGGGCTCCCTGTGCAGCTGGACGCCGGAGCCCTCAACACGCAGGGTCCTCGGGACCCTGAGAACCCGAATGATGACTTTGAACGAGCTTAGACTCATTACGGCCTTAATACATCATCATAGCATATAACCATAGAATACCAAACTGTTCAAACAGAAAATTCTATCTCCAGGTAGCTAAGCTGTATACATCAAGAGCCTCTCATACTTCGTCACGTGGGGCCATTATCGATAAACGTTCTGTTGACAGAGCGACGGACGATCCCCCATGACCTTCGTTTGCACCTCCAATAAGCATAACTTAACCACTTCTCGCAAGGCGAGGCGCCTTCCCTCTCTTTTATATACCCAAGCATCATGAGCGACCTACTCAAATACATCCTCAACAATGAGGAAGCGTTCCGCAGGTAGAGACTACAACCCCCCGAGCCCGAGTCCAGACCCGCATCTCCAACCCAAGAGCCAAACAGCCCACCAAATACCTGTACACACAAAAAGGATAATATACTAATCCTCTTGAAACCCCAGAAACCGCCTCCCATCCCTCTACTCCGATTTCACACCTCAGAAGAAAACAAACCCAGACGGCTACGCCGTCAACGTCGCCGCATGGGAACAAGCACTCAACCGAGCCGCGAAGCGCGGCTACACCTCCTCCCGCGGAGTCCGCGTACGATCCGGGTCGAATATCTCAGCGAAGAACGATAGTTCAGCATCGCCACCAGCAAAGCGAAAGAAGACGGATCACCTTATTCTGCGGACGGATGAGTCCTTGCTTAGGGATTTGGAGAGTGCTGAGTGGGGGAGACCCGTTGCGCTGGGTACTGTTTTCGATGAGGCAATGCGCAAACGCTCTATGATTCCTCTGCCGGTTTACAAGACTACTGCTGGGCTTTTGCAGAAGAGTCAGTGGAGGGTTATTGATCCTGGTGTTTTGAGTCCGTGGAATGTTATGAGTTGGGGTGTCAGGCAGCTTAAGGGGTTTGTTGTTGGTTCCGAGAGTGATTCGGCGCCGAAGTTGCAGGTGCAGGAGTTGGTTTTGGTGGAGAATTTGCAGGTATATTTTTTGGTCGAGGGACTATGCTTGCATCTATCTTTGCTGACTTTCTCCTTTTTCCCAACAGGAAACAGCAGACTTGGCCGTGAAGAAGGCTACTGGCGGCAAATCCTCGAAACTGGATCTAATATACTCGAAAGAAAGCTTTGTTGAGGAGTTTGCAGGCATACTGAATGATGCGACAGAGTTATCAGATGCTGATTTTGATATTTTATTGCTCTATTTGTCCCGCGACAGCGGTGCTATTGCATATGATGGCAAGGTAAGCTGACTATGCAAGGTATTTTGGCCAGAACGCCCAGATACTGATAAGTGTGCAGACAATCAAGTTCAAATCCGCAGGCGAGATGCCAGAGATCACACAACAAGACACAACCATTGCGTCTATCAAGACGTTGGTAGCGACGATGTCTAAGCAGGTCACAAATTTGGAGGCTAAGGTCATCGAGCTGAACATTTCTGCGAAGACAGCACTGGCGAACAAGAACCGAGTTTCGGCGCTAGCCGCTGTGAGGTCAAAGAAGATGGCTGAACAGAACCTCAAGCAGAGACTTGACACTCTTATGCAGCTCGAAGAGGTCTATACCAGGATCGAACAAGCTGCCGGTCAGATCGAAATTGTGCAGGTCATGCAGGCAAGCACTGGGGTTCTCCGTGGTCTTCACACACAGATTGGTGGCGCCGAAAGGGTTGAGGATATCGTTGAGGAGTTGCGTGAGGAGATGAGCAAGGTGGATGAGGTCGGCAGCATTATGAACGAAGCCGGCCCGGTCATTGATGAGGGAGAGATTGATGAGGAGCTCGAAGCCTTGGAGAAGGCTGACAGGGAAGTGCAGGAGAGGGAAGAAGCAGCAGCCACTGAGAGGAGACTGGCTGAGCTGGACAGTGCCAAGCAAGCATCCGACGAAGCTGCCCGGAAAGCACAGGCGGCCAAAAATGTGGAGTCTGAGCTTGCAGGCAGTATTGAAAGACTTTCCAATATGTCTGTTGAAGATCGCCCGATGCCAGCGAAATAAGGTACAGCCTGTTTATGGACAAGAGATCTGTCATTAAAAGGCACAGTTCACTATTGAAGTGAGTTCCAAGTCGGGTCCGATTCATATCCATTCATAGTCACCCGGAGAGGTCGATGGTATTATTGGCATCTGAGCCTGGGTCGTTTTCAATGCGAGCACCATTCGGTGGCAGTGCCTCAGCATGCTGCTGTGGTTGAGCTTGCGCAGGCCCAGACGAACTTTCTGATGCTCCGGGAATAGTGGACCTGATCTGAGCTTCACTCTTCTTCCGCGCATCTGCAATGAGGCGCTTGAAATCGTCATCGTGGTTTGTGGACCACTCGTTGGCATTGAAGTCCTTGCGCATAACGTTACTTGACGAAAGAAATGGTGATGGCGTAGCAGCATGCCCTCCCTGCGTCCGCTCCCAGATATCCAGCTCTGAGAGCAATATCCGTTTTGATTTGGGGTTTTTGGAATCGCAATTAGCGTTCCACAGGTTCATCCACTCCGTATGGCGTCGCTGCAGAAGCGGTTTGGGACCCCACTCTGGGATACCGAGGTCCCGGAGCTTCTTTCGCAATGAATTATCCTTCAAGATGGAGTAGTTTATGGCGGGGATTCGATCGGGAGGTTTGCCTAGGGTTAGATCCTTTTGGGGTGGGGCCATCAGTGACCTGCGATGTCAATTAGCATTCATATTCTTAGATTTCGGTAATAGAATCAACATACCCAAAAAGAGCTGGCTTTGGAGGCTGAGCTTCCTCCTCTGTGTGAACGTTTAAATGTGTGAAGACCGCTTCCTCCTTCATCTTCTGGGAGCAGATCGGGCACGCGACCATGCCATCTTCTATGAGATTATTAGACTGAGTTTGGCATACGAGTCCAAGATGTCATACCTGGAATGTACTCATCGTCATCTTGACTATCCTCGATAACCTCAGGAATGCTCTGAGGGGCAATCAGCGCTTCTACCGAGGTTCTTGTGGTTCTTTGAGACCGTGTTCGTCGGCCTTGCGAGCTGACTTCTGCAACTTGCGTTTCCTCCTCTGCAACGCGACTAACTTTTCGTTTCTTTACCGGTTGCTTGGTATCATCCTCTCCCTTCTTAAGGCGCTCTTTTTCCGCTCGCGCAAGCCCCAGGACACTCGGCCGTGCCGTCATAAACGCGTCGACCAGTTCTTGGACTGCCCAGTTACGGCGCAGCTTCAGCTCTTGGTCAGAGCTCCGGCAAGCAGGGCATTTCCCTTCAGTGCTTAGACAGCGGCGAATACATAGTGAACAGAATGTATGACTGCAAGATGTAATGACCGGGTTATCGAAGAAGTCTTTGCAGACTTGACACCGGAGCGAGGATTCGAGTGGCGCAAGTAGTGACAGAGGTGTTCCTACCCAATCGGTGGAATCGGGCAGGTCGAACGATTGATCCATTGGAGAAGAGACCTGTACCTCACGCGAGGTCTTTGTAGAATCTCAGATCTCGAGAGGAGAATGGGAGTGGAGTGCAGACGCCAAGACCCGCTGACTGATACGCGTTAAGTGGTTTGGGCACGCGTCGGAGCAACTTGCAACTCACAACGATGGACTCCAAGCTGTATCTGGCTGAGAATGTGCTCAATGAGCGACATGCTGTATGTTCCTCTTATATTCTCTTCAACGTTCATATTCTGACCGGGAATAGGTCACTTATCGCTCACTGAGCCGCGCGCTAAAGGTGCCCGCCAATCGAGCCAAACAGTAGGTCTAAGGACTTGGAGAAGATCCAGCAGAGGCTGACAATTTGGTTTCTTAGGGTTCTCTTTGAATTCCACCGCAATGAGAATGCGAAGAAGCCACAGACCGTCCACGCAACCTACGTCATCTCCGGTATCCAGAAAGCACCAGAGCCGGCTCCTACGAATGGCCATGCCAACGACGAGGATGAGATTATGCAGAGCAGCCCTGACTTGCCCAGCTCGATGCCGAACCAGGATGCATCTTCATACTCAACCCGCATTGCATCAATCATTTTAGCTCGTGAAGAAGACCTGGAAGGTATGGTGGTCCGAAGATCTCGATGGTAGACTGAATACTGAACGAACGGGGCAGATGCGAAATCAACTTTCCAATCGATATCTACAATCCATGTCTACAGCATTGAACCCACACCTCTCCCTGATTTGAACGTGTTGGTCGATGTCAGTCGCGAGATTGCGACCAAGTATGCGCAGGAAGATCCATTGGAGTGTGGAAAGCAATGGGGCATGATCCAGAACCGAAATGTCAAGGTATGATCTTATTATGGAAGACAGTTATAGTGATCTAACGGGTACGCTTTATAGCGGAGAACTGGCACGCGCCCACCTCCACCTCCAGCAGCTAAGGCTCAGGCGCCAGCTGCTAAGGCACCAAGGCCTTCTATCGAGTCAACAGTACCTGCCAAACGGCCATTGCAAAAGGAAGTCGATCCGGCAAAGGTTGAAACCAAGACCGATGATCCGAACTCTCAGCCATCCACTTCCGCAAACTCCCAGTCATCTTCGAAGTCCGCTGCCAAAGCTGCGCCTGCCAAAAAGGGCAGCTTGTTCAGCTCGTTCGCTAAGGCGAAGCCAAAGCAAAAGACAGCTGCCCCTGCAGAACTAAGCACGGAGGATGGTGAGTCAACCCCGTGCGATATTGAAACATTAGCTAACATATCGCAGTTGTGCTTGATGATGCTTCCGAAGAAGAACCAGAAGAACTGTTCCCTGATAGCGGTGACAAGGCAGCAGCTGCAAACCGCGAAAGCAGAAAAGAACGCGAAGAAAAGCTAAAGAAAATGATGGACGATGACGAAGCTGACGGTATGTGCCGAATTGCTACAGGAATTGCAACCCTACTAATATAAACCCAGACGAAGAAATGCCCGATGCTGACGAGGAACCATCTCGGGAACCTACCCCTATCGAGCAACCACCGCTATCCAAGCCAGTCGAACTTAAAGAAGAAGTAACCGTGCAAGGCGGGCGGCGGCGAGGCAAGCGACAGGTCATGAAGAAGAAGACGGTCAAGGACGAGGAAGGATACCTAGGTCTGTGCAGCACACTGGGACCCATTAATATATTTGTTACTAACTTGCAACAGTGACTCGGGAAGAAGCGTCGTGGGAGTCATTCTCCGAAGATGAGCCAGCCCCTAAGAAGAAGCCAGCAGTCAATGTCCCCAAGGGTAAGGCCGGTAAAGCTGGCCAGGGTCAAGGTAATATCATGTCTTTCTTTGGAAAGAAATGAGTTCAATCTTAAAGTTCTCACTCAATACCATGTTGTTTGTCTCTACGGAGTATAGAAGTAGAATTACCCAAAGAGGAAATTAAACAATGTCGATCTTCTCCGCACTCTGTGGAGAAGTGAGCATCCGTGCCTTGGCCGATGTCACCTCAGTTCGCAGTTTAATGCACCGAAATTGAAGTCAGGGCTACATTGCAGATAACTTAGAGTATCTCAACATGTTATGGAATGTGACCCTGCCCGGTTACGATCGACGTCCCCTCTTAATTACCCCGGCTCCCCCACAACTCCCTCTTTTGTTTCGACTACACCTAGATAACCTACTGCCATGACTCTGTCAGTCATCCTCGCCGCGTCTCTGCTGGGCCTTTCCAATGCCCTACCAGGTCGCGATAACCCGGCTATCCTAAAACGGGCTTGCCCTGACTATGTTTCATATGCGTCAACGCCGCAGTGAGTACTTCCCCACCAAAAGGTACCCGGACAATTGCTCATCAGGAATATGACAGTGCTCCTTATAGTGAAGGCCCTTTGAAGCTTCCCTACCAGCGACCCGCAGAAGCATGTCGGACGTTCTCATCGCCCGCCGTCGAGAAGGTCATCGACGATATAACATCGCGCCTAACAGACAAAGACCTGGCCCAGCTTTTCCGCAATGCCTACCCCAACACCCTTGACACCACTATTAGGTGGCACACAAACGGATCCAGTTCCTCTACGAAGCGGGCCAGCGCGCAATCTGGTGCGCAGTGGACAGGCACGCAGACATTCGTCGTGACAGGCGATATCAACGCCGAGTGGCTGCGCGACTCAACCAACCAGCTCACGAACTACCAAGCACTGGCTTCCAAAGACGCGAAATTGTACTCACTTATCCTCGGCGCAATCAACACCCAGTCCGAGTTCGTCATCCAGTCACCGTACTGCAATGCATTCCAGCCGCCATCTCTCAGCGGAATCAAGCCAGAAAACAGCACCCAAACGGACAAAGTCCACCCGGCCTATGAAAAGTCCTTTGTCTTCGAATGCAAATACGAGCTCGACTCGCTTGCGCATTTCCTCCTCCTCGGCACTGAGTTCCACGAGAACACCGGCTCAACCGATTTCCTAACAGACCGCTGGTACAAAGCTCTGCAGACCGTACTGCAGACCATCGACGCACAGTCTCAGCCGACCTTCAACTCAAAGAACCAATTCGTCACAAACGCATACACATTCCAGCGCCAGACGACTCTCGGCACCGAAACCCTCAGCCTGGAGGGCGTGGGCAACCCACTAAACAGCGGGACAGGCCTAATTCGCAGTGCCTTCCGTCCCAGCGACGACGCCACGATCTTCGGGTTCTTCATTCCACCCAACGCAATGATGTCCGTTCAGCTCCAGAAAACGGCAAAGGTCATCAAAGCCGCCGGTGGACCGGACGATCTAGTCAAGAACCTACAGGAGCGCGGCGAGAAACTCGCCAAGGCAGTCCGCGAGCACGGCATTGTCCAGCATCCCACCTACGGCAATGTTTACGCCTTCGAGGTAGACGGGTATGGCTCGCGCGTTCTCATGGACGACGCTAATATCCCATCACTTCTCTCTCTACCTTACCTCGGTTTCCTGGATAAATCGGACACTGTCTACCAGAATACCCGCAAGATGATCACCTCCAAGTCTGGGAACCCGTATTACCTGGAAGGTCCGGCATTCCGTGGTATTGGCGGCCCGCATGCTGGTCTTGAGAATGCTTGGCCTATGTCTTTGCTTGTTGCGGCTATGACTTCTGATGATGATGATGAGATCCTGGCGAATATTAATCTTGTTCGGGATTCAAGCTTGCTGGGCCTCGTTCATGAGTCTATTAATGTTAACAATATCAAGGACTATACTCGTCCTTGGTTCTCGTGGGCTAACTCCGTCTTTGCGCAGACCATTCTTAAGGTTGCTGCTGAGAAGCCGCATTTGATCTTTGGGAAGGGGGCAAAGCCTTATACTGTGCAATAGGCTTCATGGTATGCTTTGGGCTTGTTGCCGGAAGAAGTATCAACTATAGCTCCCAAGCGGGCAATTCATTGTTATCAAAATCAAATGAACTTCATATATAAGTCAGCATCGGGAGTAAAATTTTACCTGTTGTTCTGCAGCCAGAATTGAATACGTCTCTGGTATAGATCGATGGATCGAATCCTTCGAGAAGTCCTTTAATGTTCTAGTTCAAGCCTCTCGTATACGTAGTTAATCTGAGTAGATTCATCGTCATCTATAATCCTCATGGATGTTTCTGTGCAATGTTGGTGAAGATATAATAACAAAAGGGATATAAAATAACAATTAAATCAACACTCTCCGCAGGCCCTCAGTGCCTCCAAGTACTCTTCGTCCTGTGACGGGGCATCTTCCCTTGCCACTCTCCCATTTACCAGAGCGCTTACGAGAACCTTTTCCCTCAGAGACATCCCCAGCGCCCTTCTTAGTGTCTTCGTCGTCGCCAGTAATCTCCTCTTCCCACGGCGCACCAGCACCTTCACCAGTCATAAAGTCCAGCTGGCGCTGGTGCTCGCCATTCAGCCAGTGGAAGATGCACACATAGCAGAAGACATACCCTGTCTGGCATGCAGTCGGGTTAACGAGCTGGCCCATACAGACAGGACAAGTATTCGCACTCGAGGGATCAGCCGGAGGCAAAGACACGGTGTAAATGGGAAGATAAGAAGTAGCAGAGATAGGAGGCTGATGGCGACGTGGAGACTTAAGCGCTGGTTTTAAATCAGCAGCGGCACTCTTTTTAGCCTTCTCTTTCTCGTCTGACGATTTCCGTCTTTCAGCTGGAGAAGTGAGGCCCGCAACCACGGGAGCGGGCAGGTCGAGGACCTCAGTTGCCTTTCGGGCGAGCTGACGCGAGAAATCACTGGCATGCCACCATTCCAGGAACTTGAGAGCGAAGATCGATGCGGGGAGGAAGTACCGTAGCGAGGTCAGGGCTTGTGTATGGAGATTTTGGGGGCTGAGAAGACCGAGCAGACCACCGCCTGGTCGCTGAGAGCGGCCGGCACCAGGGCCGGGCTTGGGGTCTAGCACAGCGGCGATGGCGCGGTGGTCTGCGGCGCCGAGGCGGCGGATGCGCGTACCGATCAGCCATAGGAATGGCGAGGAGTACTTTGTGTTATCGAAGAGGTAGGCAAGATTGAACGCCAGAACGGAGAAGTAGTACGCAGCGTTGACGGACGGGTAGACTCTGCGTAGGAACCACTTATAGAAGTGGAAGATGCGCTGGCGCAGCGACGGGTTGGCCGGCAGATCGTCGCTGGGGTTGTATCGGGGGCCGCCGCCCATCACCAGGGATGCCTGCGGAGCAGCGTGGATATCATACCCTTCGTCAAGCTTGCGCTTCAGGTAGGGGATTCCGACCATGACGAACAGGTTCTTCCATATGTCTGTTGAGTGTAGTTTGAGGGCCTCACGCACGGGGCCAGCGGCGCCGACCTGGGCGCGCGGGATCTCGCCATTCTTGGTGCGGAGGACGCGCTCACGTTTCAGGGAGTAGAAGTTCTCTGTAAAGGAGCCGCCGAAGGTACGGAGGTAGTATCTTTCGACGACTAATGAGAGGAGAGCGTAGACTTCGTCATAGGAATTGAGGATCCGGAGGAGGTATCGCGGGTGGCGGTGTGTTGCGACTGCAAGGAGATAGCGTAGAGATGGTGGGAGGAGATCGGATAGCTGCTGTTCAGCGAGGAGTTCTGTCGCGTGCGAGCTTGATGTTAGCGATTCTGCTGTATGGGGGGCCCTTTCCCCGTGTCTGGGGTCTCCCCATCTCCGCGGGGAAGTGTCAATGGTAACTTACCGAAGAGCGACGGTTTGTTCTCGTCAAACTCCTGTTGTAGACTAGGAAGATACTCCATTGTCAGGAGCAATCATCCTTGGAAAGTTGGAATGGGGGGAGAGATGAAGGTGACAGTCGCCGGAATCAGTGATCGTCTGCCGAGGCTCAACTTATCCGAGCTGACTACTCCGTACATTCGAATTCATCAATGAAATACAACTTTGAGGACGCTCCAAACCATTGACATGAAAATTGATATTGTACATGCAGAATATATGCTATATTATTTTACAGATATTTGTTCTTCGTTCAGGCTCCGAAAGCAAGTGCCTCCTGGCAATCAGTCCAGAGGGGCATATAGAAACTCGGAGGACCATCTTCTTCACGCTTGTGAATGGTCGGGTCAGCCACCAAGATACAATGCATGATGGCGGGCACAACCAGACCTTCTAACGCAATCATAGGAGACTCCTCGGTCATCAGCGGTATGCCAAGAGAGAGGCACTCGCGTGCTCGCCGTTCGTCGCCAAGGTCAGCGTGCAACTGAAACAGCTGAGTGTAATCATCTCGTGTACGGCTAAGGCCTTTTACAGGAAACATATTCCACAATCGCCAGAACCCATCGTGGTCCCCGCACTGAAATAGCGTAACCATGAGCTTACGAGCTTCGCCGGCGTCGAATGGAACATTGGCTGCCGCGACAATCTTGGTCAGCCGAGACAAAATTCGTTCCTGGGACTTGGTTCGCTGAGTAGTAGATGATGGCTGCGAAGCCCCTTCCACGGACGATCCACTTGGCGTAACGCATGTTTGATAGAGGATGTTGAACATTCTCATGTTAAGAATGGGTACGCCACGTAGGCTGAGACGATCCAGTACACTCAGGGCAAGCTCCATATCATTTTCAGGAATATCAAATGCAAGTTCCTGTGGATTCGCACCAACTGGCCTCGGGGCCAGCAGGGCAGAGACAACATCAAAACCAAGGTCGTCCGGCAGATCGTAGCCATCCTGGAGGAAATCAGAAAATGCGCTGAACAGGGCATCTTTACTGTAAGCCGAGTGCTGTTTAGACACCGCAATTGACAGCAGCTTCAATCGAAGGATAGCCTTCTCCTGGGCGGAGATTTTTGTGGCGTGGTTGGTATAGAAGAGCCGTAGAAAAATAGTTGACGTGCGATCATCTGGACCACTCCCAAGCTCGCTCCGTGCATTCTCAGCCGGGAGTTCGCGGAGGATCTGAAGCAAAGACGCAGGTGTCATTTGGGATGCGACGGCTTCTGCGCTGCCAGCGGCGGGTGAAGCTCCGATAACAGGAAAAGCAGACCCTAGGCCAGATTCAATGGAATTCATTTCGGGTACTGCCAGTCGACGCATGGTATGGAAGCCTCTCTTTTGGTTGGGAGAGGAGCCGAAACCATCAGACATAGACCTGGGAGGTGCAGAGCTAGGCTCAGAAGAATCGGTCTGCCGAACGTTCTTTCGGCCTTCGCGGGCTAAAGTAGCCTCCCAAAGACCATCAAGGTCAACATCGGCCCGCTTCTCTTCCGTAAAAATCTGGACAACTACGTTAGTCCCAAGCTCGATGTTGCCAAATCCTTCGAAGCCGGCATCGCTAAGCTGTGTCTGAGAGATAGCATCCTTGTCCACCACGCCCGCGTTAACACAAATCCAGCCCGTGGTGATTCCATCGTCCTTTTCATCAACCATTGCACCTGCGGCGGCAGCAGCGCGCGCCCGTTTGGCTTTACGGCGGAGTTTAATCTTCAACTCGTTGCGTCCTAGCAGGCCGTCGGCATATGGAGACAACTTGTATTGACTTCGCAGCCAGCGGCAGAGGCGATCAGCGGACACATTTAAGTGCTTCACACTACGGGCAGTTCCAACGATCATGATCACATTGGCACCGAGAGCCGCGGGGATTTCGAGGCCGCGTAGGTCGAAAAGCTTCAGACCGTCAAGACCGAGATCTTTATATGTATATTCCAGAAGGGTGGAAAGCATCTCTGGGGAGTCATTGGGGATCTCAGGGAGATGGGCTTCAGTCAACGGACGATCCTCGACCGGCGCCTCCTCCTGCAGATACCAAGGAACATGCTGTGACGAGGCTGGCGCATTGCTTTCGGCTGGCACCGGGGATTCTCCTGGTTCAGCCAGATGGACGTCAAGGCGATGCGAAGTTGGAGGACGATCGGAGAAAGCTTTAAGGTTGGAGATTGAACCGAAGGGAAGAGGATATCGGGGGAGTCGAACACCTGAGACGGATACAAAAGACCGGAGTACCTCGTGACGACACGATTGGCATACAGCCCCTCGTAAAAGAGCCCTGCTCATTGTGAAGATGCTAAATCAAGAAAGTGAGGAAACCTGGAAGTCCTGATTTGCTCCGGATGATATCAACGATAGCAGCGCCAAACAATGCAAACAGCTGAGTCATCCAAAAAAAGATTCTCGGAGGGGCAAAAGTTACAAATCCACGATAACCAGTCTCGAGTCCTGGACTCTATACTACAGTTCATTTTTTTCTCTCTTTCTTTCAGGCATTCTACTCAAGATGTCGATGGATCTGGATGCCCCCGTCTATATGACGGGACAACAGGAGCAGATTGCTGCAACGTGCGTTGTGTTCCCCCGCTAATACCTGATTATGCTAATAATTTGCAGTATTCTTTGCTGCAACTGTGGTGCTCCCATTGATGGAACGACCTCAGCTGGAGCCCTCTGCTCAGACTGTATCCGACTCACTGTCGATGTTTCCCAGGGCATTCAACGTGAAGCCACCCTCCACACTTGCAAAGACTGCGAGCGATGGCTGCAACCCCCCCAAAGCTGGGTTGTCGCTGCCCCCGAATCGAAGGAACTATTGGCTCTTTGTCTACGCAAGCTGCGTGGTCTCTCCAAAGTCCGCATTATCGACGCCAGTTTCATCTGGACCGAACCCCACTCCCGCCGTATCAAGATGAAGATCACGATCCAACAAGAAGCCTTCCAGGGTACCATTATCCAGCAGACATTTGAGGTGGAATATGTCGTCGCCTCACAGCAATGTCCCGACTGTCAGAAATCTTATACCCATAACTCCTGGCGCGCCGCTGTTCAGATTCGTCAGAAGGTTCCTCACAAGCGAACCTTCCTCTACCTGGAGCAGGTCATTCTCAAGCACGGTGCCCACAAGGATACCGTCAACATTAAGGAAGCAAAGGACGGTCTTGACTTCTACTTTGCTCAGAGAAACCATGCCGACAAGATGGTCGAGTTCCTGCAATCAGTGACTCCTTGCAAGTCGAAGAAGTCCCAGGAACTCATTTCGATGGATATCCATACCTCTACCAAGTCATACAAGTTCACATACTCCGTTGAACTGATCCCCATTTGTAAGGACGACTTGGTTGCTCTACCACTTAAGCTGGCCCGCTCTCTGGGCAACATCTCCCCTCTGACCCTCTGTCACCGCGTCGGCACTGCCGTCAACCTCATGGACCCTTGCACCCTCCAAACAACCGATGTTCCCACCGGCGTTTACTGGCGCCAACCATTCAGGACTCTCGCCGATGTCACCGAGCTCAAGGAGTTCATTGTCATGGACATCGAGCCAACCGGTCTGTCCAACGGTCGTTACCTTATGTCCGAGGCCACCGTTGCCCGCGCCTCGGATCTAGGATCCAACGATATCACCTACTTCACCCGGACTCACCTCGGTGGTATCCTGCACGTGGGAGACTCCGTCCTCGGCTACCACTTGACAGGAACCAACTTCAACAACGAGCACTTTGAGGAAATCGAGCGTAGCCACCAATACGGCTCGACAGTTCCCGATGTCGTCCTCGTGAAGAAGCACTATGTCCGCAGCAAGAAGTCTAAGAACCGCAGCTGGCGCCTCAAGCGTATGGCTAAGGAGTACGAGGAGGAAGCCCTCGCTGGCGGTAACGTACCCAGCACCAAGCGCCAGGAGCAAGAGCAGAACCGCATGGAGCAGGACTACGAGATGTTCTTGCGTGATGTTGAGGAGGACCAGGAGCTGCGTCAAACTCTTGACCTGTACAAGGTCCGCCAACAGCAACCCCGACCCGAGCAGATGGAGGTGGAGATGGCCGAGGATGATGATGTGGATGAGCAAGACGAGACCGTGCCTAAGATTAACATGGACGAGCTGCTTGATGACTTTGACGACATGAACATGGAAGACAATGAATAAGCTCTCTGAGCTTACTGCGCGTGATATCCTTGACGATCATGGCACTGGCCGGCGTTTCTGTTATGTTTCCTGGGTCTTTCAATCCAACAAAAAAAGTTCCTTATTTTCAAATAGATATATGCAATGTACAGGATGCGGATGCAATCTTCATATACTCCGATAAAAAAATGGCATAGATATCTAACAGTCCAAGAATAGTAGACCAGCCTAGAAAATCTTCCCAAGCACCCTCTTCGCATCATCAGCAACAGCGCCCTCCTTACTCCCCTGAACAACCTCACTCTGCTGGAATCGTCTCCGAACAGGCTGAGCAATCTTCTTCTGCGACACCTCCTCCCCCTTCTCAGCCTCAGCCTCCAACCTCCTCCTCGCCTTCTCCTCATTCTTCCTCGCCATCCCATCAGCAACACGCCCGCTCTCAACACCAGCAACAAACATCTTCTCCTCCTTCTTAGCGCGCGAATCCTCAATCCGCTGCCTAGCCTCGCGCTCACTCCTCTCACGCTGAACTTGTTCCATCAAATCCGTCCACTTAAATCCACGCAGGTACTTCATATTCCACACATCATCGTGGTACCAGCCTCCCTTGCGCCCGCCGACAATATGCGCATTCAGCGTCTCGGCGCAAATCTTGGCTGTCTTCTTCGAGGCGAATTCAACCCATCCGTCCGTGTAGGTTTTGCGCTTGTTGCTGCGGCGCCGGTTTCCTGCTGCTGAGGGGAGGAGAGGGGCCAGGAAGATCTTTGTGACTGGTTCGAAGCCGCGTTGTTCCAGCATCGCCTTCAATGCGAAGGGCTTGAGGTAAGGTGGGAGAGAGGAGAGATAGATGACGCCTGTTTTGTTCTTCTTGGGGGGTTTGCCGTTGACGGATTTGGATTTCTTTTCGGTTGGTTGGAGGGCTTTTGTGCGTGCGATTTTGGCGGCTGCTTCTAGGAATGCGCTGTCTTGGTCTGCTTCGTCGTCGTTGGAGTCGTCTTCTTCTTCATCCTCGTCCGCTTCGTTTGTGGCTTGCTTGGTCTTTGCTTGCTTGCGGCTCTTGCCTTTGCCGCGGGTTTCTTCTTCTTCGGGTTCGTCATTGTCGTCGTCTTCGTCTGACTCTACTCCGAAGAAGTCTTGCGTGTCGGCTGTTCGTCGCCGCTTTACGGCTCGTCCTTTGCTCTCTGCCACATTGGCTTCTGAGTCGTAGCCGCGATCGCTGGTCTCATCATCGCTGGCTGCAGTGTCCAGGAACTCGTTGTGTGTGCGGGTCGTCATTTTGGAGGTTTGAGGGAGTGTAGACTTTCGTGAGAGGCGGGAATCATCCAACTTTTTTTTAATGCGGTGGCCCGTGCGCCCGCGGGACTATACAAGTGCCAAGTTCAATCTTGAGTTTACAGATATCAGAAGAGTAAGAAATTGACAAAGTGACTTGACATAGTAAATTGTATATACGACTTCTAGTGTATCTTCGAAGCAAGCTATCCAAGCTTCTAATGCAAAAAAAAAAAAAGAAAGCCCTCCCGAGGTATCCACGAAACGCCAACAAGAAGTGGTAATGTGGTCGAGGACTATCCATACCCGAATCTCATGATGTATGTTCAGACAAGAGAAAAGAAAACAAATGATCAAGAAGTCAGAGGCCTTTAAATGCCTAGCGACCACTTCAAGCGCTCATAAACAAAGAAACTGGTAGCAACCATGGGAATAACCTTCATATACCCGATAGTCAACCCAACCCAAAAACCACGGAATCCTCTCTCAAGCCAGATAGTACGAGCAGTGTCGGCAAGTCCAAGACGGTGCCCATCACCTACTGCACCACTAACTTGCATGCGTCGGCGGAGGACCTCGAGCGGGTAGGAAGACGTTTGCGAGACCATACCAGCCAGTGCGCCGGAAGATAGCTCTGCAACAGCAGTGAGTTGGGGTCCCTTGTCAGACCTCTTAGATGTCGAACCAGGGATGGTGGTATATTTCGCAACAGCAGGGAGACGGAGCCAGTCGCCGACGGTGTCGTGAGTGAGGAACGACATGCCAGCGTAAGGAAGCATTCCGAGGATAGTAGGAGTAAAGCCACGGTAGAAATTGGTGAGTCCAGAGCGCGGGACAACCTTGTTCACAGCTGCGGAAGCACTTTCAGCAGCAGCGACGGTAGAAGATTCGGCAGCCGCAGCGGAGCCTGTTGACGGGGACCGCGCGCGCTCATTGTAGATCTGACGGCAGACGTCTGTCAAGGAAGAGCGGGATGACTGTTTCGTTTCGAAGGCCATTCGCACTCGGAGGAGTTCTAGTGGGTATGTGAAGAAGACAGACGTGATTCCTGCCATGCTGCCCGACGCCAGCCGGCGGAATACAGTCTCTTTATCCCGTGAAGGAATGACAACTGCGCGGATCTGTTCGTATGCAAGAAATTTGATGGCGGCGTATGGGAAGATTCGGATGAGAGTGGCGGAGTGGCCTTTGAACAGGCCCATTGCACCTTCAGAGCGCTTGATGTCTCGAATGGCTGCGGAAAGGCCATACCAGCTGCCTGTGTATTTTGCGAATTGAGGGTTTGAGGCTTGGAATAGGATCTTGACACGGTCGAGGGGTGCCACGACGGTTTTGGCCTAGTTTTCCCACCAGGGTTAGTATATGACTATCGCAACTGGGTCTTCTTCACCCGCGACGCACTTACCGCACACCCCGCCAGTCCTCCAGCTAACCCGGTTCTTGAGATGTAATCCAAGCTCTGTTTTTGTGGCGGCTTTGTTTCGCCATTTTGCTGGCCTGCGGTGACGGTTTTTGAGACCATGGGGGCTTTTGCGCTACTTGTCATCGCGCTCGGCGATCTTGAATGTGAGATTTCGCTCATCGGAGCAGACTGCAGAGTGGATTCTTGGGTGTCGTGAGGCGGGATCCGTGATTGTGTGTTGCTGCGATCGTGATTGACATGGTCTGAATAACCAGTCGACATGGGAAGAGAGAGCGCTGAACAGCCGAGGCCGGGGGAAATATCTGGGGCAATAACGGTATCCCCTCGTGATCAGTTCGGCGATAATCAGGAAGAAAAATCTCGGGCTACCGGATGATGTTCGGGAGCCTCCAATCGGGCAGGGAGAGGGTCCTTAGTCCCTTGAATATTATAAACAATGTGAGAGAATGTGTAGAATGTGCAATGGAGAGTGTAAGAGAGAAGAGACAGGTGTGTGTTCACATTCACTGACGTATTTTGGCTGGCGAAGTTCCGAGTGTACGGACTGACATGCCGATACCAGCCGCCCCCCGCAAATAACCGGTGGATTACCATACCGATACCGAGTGGCGGGCCAACGAGTCCCGAGAAACCGAATTGTCATCCGCTGACCTACTGAGTTTATACCCGACTCTACTAGGAATATCTTCACTCTATGTTTGCATTTCTAAAGGTCACACCTGCTAAATAGAAAACTCCCTCCATGCTCGAAATGTTTACGAGGCAGAATAGAATGGAAATAGTACAAAGAATATCGTGGTCGCGTAACAAGTGAAGGATCAACGGTTGCGCCGGGAGCTCTGTCGAGTCAAGGTCTTCGCCTTGGTCTCCCTGGTGTCATCGGAAACCCGCTTGGTGCGCTTGGCAGGCCGGTCAGGGTCAACGTGGAGATGGCCATTCTCGGACAGGGCGGTGTTGTTCTTCCAGTGCAGACAACGGAGACCGTGTTTGTTTACATCCATATAGGTTTTGGTGCGAGTGGTCACACGTTTGGCTGGGATATCCTCCGACTCCGCCCTCTCCGCGGTCCGGGTCAGGTACGCCTGGCGGTTCTTCATGTACTTGGCGATATAGTCCTGCTGCTGCAGGAGCTCCTTCAGCAGCTTGGACTCTCGGTTGCCGCGCGGGTCTAGCCATTCGGTAAGCTGGTCAATGGCATCCGGGTCCTCGTAGTAGCCCCATTCACGGGCATTGGACAGATGGGTCGGTCCCTCCTCGTGCTTCTTGCGCTCCGCTGGAGTGGTCCCGAAGTGCCTCTGGTATTGCTTGCGCTGCTCCTCGGTCATGTCGATGAAGCCGGCGTGCTCCATTGCATCCGGACCTTGTACCCACAGACGACCATTAGCGTATAGTGCCTCTGCAGTCGAACTTTCTGGCATGCCCTCGTAGGGCATTGCGTTCCGCTCGAACCACCAGTAGCGGTTGCAGAAACGATCCTGTCCAAGGCATCGGGTTCGGGGGCAATCGGCCTCGCGAAGGTTGTTTTCAACCGTCTCGATCTCATCCTGGAGTTTGTCGACCTTGGCCTTCTGGTCATCGATCTTCTTCAGGACTCGTTGGTATTGTTTCGACCCCTTTGGTTGCTTCGCAAGCTGCTCCTTTCGCTCTTTCTCCAGTTCTTGCTTGCGTTTGCGCTCGAGGGCACGATCGGGACCTCCCCGAAGCGCACGTGGCCGAGGGGTATCCTCGTCTTCAGTATCGACAGGCATTTCAGAATCGCCTTCCAGGCCAGTCATCCTAGAATCATCCAGCCCATCCAGTTCGGGAACGGGTGTGGGGGACTTTCCGTTCTTTTCGGGCTCGGGCTGGATGGCCTTGCGCTCCTGATGAAGTTGACGGAGCTCGATAAGTCTAGAATATTTGTTAGCGGTTGCTAGTATCACAATAGGAGCGTAACTTACGCTGCTTTGCGCGCCTTCTGGTACTCGATTTTCTCCTTGCGCAATTCCGTCATCTGGTTGCTGCATTCTTCCAGATAATTACGGATCGCCTTGGTTTCCAGGCTGAGCATGCAAATGATCTGCAGGGCCTTGGTGCGCATGTTGATATCGAGAGTGCGGTATTGCTCCAGCGCGGTGTACTGGGTAGGCTCTGCATCGAGAGGCGCCAAGTGTTTGAGGATATCGTTGCAAGTCTGCTCTGAACGGGGACGGGCTGACATCTGGTGCAACAGACCGATCATCACCATCTGCCACCCACCGTTGCGGAAGTCACGTTTGCGAAGACGCTCAATCCAGCCGTACTTTTCGAACATCTCGGCAGCACGGTGAATCTTGGTCTCGTCTCCTTCATCGTCGTCGCCGATATGCGATTTGATGGTCTGTGCCTCCTCCATGGCCAGGCTTCTTCTGGTAGTCATTCTACCGGGCCCGGCAGCCGGCTTAGGGGGTTCTTCCTCGTCTTCGTCTTCATCTTCTTCGTCGGACTCATCCGAGTCATCAACTGGGAAGTCAGGGAGAGAAACTTGAACAGCACCGCCCTCATCCCCCGTCGCATTGACCAGTTTCTTGAGAACGGCGCAATGGATCTCCACAAACAACTCGCAGTCCATCTCCTCTGACGAAAATCGCATAGCTTGGACGAAGTCGTCAAAAGTGAAGGAATCCAGTTCGAACACCTCGCAGTAAACATTAAGTGTATTCCAGGTCTCCAGAAGTAATCCCACCGTTTCAGGCTCAAGATCATCTGGCAGGAGGTCTTCGGTTCCGTCATCTTCGGACTCACCCACCATCAAAAACTTCAAAGTAGGACGATGTTGCCTCTCCTGATTAGGAGCAAGATCCAGATCCTCAATGGGATACTTGATGGGTGGTGGGGTGGGCGGTCTTGATTCATTCTTGATGACAACATAAGGGCTCCCACCTGCAGAAAACTTCCGATCGCCAACCAGTGGCGGCTTGGTGGGACGCAAGGGGTTAGAGGGGAGCAGGAATGACGGATTGCCATTCAGTGATCGCTGATACTCCTGGTACTGCGCTTCCCTCGACTTCGCCATGTCGTGTGCAGACAACTTGGACTTCTGTCCCTTTGTGGCTGGTTTCAATTCAGGGAGTTGTTGAGAAGAGAAGAAACCGAAGAAGCCGTCTTGGTCTGCCTTCTTCATTGCCTTCTTCTCTGCTACCTTGGCGCCGTATTGCAGATGCTTGGGTACCTCGATTGGGATCTTGTACTCCTCGGCGACAGAAGGCTTGACCAACCAAGGAGCACCGGTCCATGACTCCCTGGTGACATTATTCTTGATAAAGCCGCGCAGCATCAACTTGGTGAATGCCTTTCGGTCGCGTGTGATGTGGTCCTGATCCAGCAGGGCCTCCTCATTTTGCCGGTCTAGGATCTTGACCAGATAACGGGCGAAAGCAGGCGTTCTAATAGTTCCGTCGGCAAACAGCTGTTCAGCGAAGTTGGCCTTGTCCCGAATAGTACCATGAAGCCGGGTGCTATCCTCCAGCAAGATTAGAACGGCTTCGCCGGGATAGAAGTCTGATTTGAATTCCTGGATTTGTTAGAATATGAGGCAATAAGAGCAATTCGAAATCATACTTCGTAAATCTCGTCCACTTGAAAATCAAAAGTTAGCTTGGTCCTATCGAATAAAACAGTAGTGGCATACCTAGACTGTCAACCCTTGAGACTGTGGAGAATTGGATTCGGCGGAGAATAGGTTCTCTCAGCGCATCTGGGAAACTGTTGTTCACTTCACGCGATTCCTCAGTCTAACAACAATTTAGCATTTATCCGTCACTCCGAGTCTAGATCATAATGTACCTCACTCCGCAGTGCCTCGAAAAATGTCAACCCCGAGTGGCCGGTGATCTCGCAAATGAATCGGCGTTGCTTGTAGAAATCCATTCGCTGGAGGTAGGGCTCGTAGGTGGTGAAGACCTCGTTAGTCTCTGGAATGACCCAAACCTGAAGGAGAACAGAGGTCAGTGGTTGGTGATCCACAGGTGTCGAAGGTGCTTACCTCGGAGCTGTCATCTTCAATGACTGTTTGTGGGAGGTATTGAACCGGTTTGCGTTTGAAGAGTACCTGAGCGAACGATTGTATAAGCCTCTGTATTCCGCAACATCCATCACATTTTCCGTGGCGTCTCCGCAGCCATTCCATCGGATAAGGTGCCGCATACCATGATCTTCTAAAGATTGCGTGCGGACGCGCCAGTCGACCAAAATCTATCGTCAACGGGGTCAATCATGAACGGACTAGACAAAACGCGGTCCTGGTCAGCGGATGCAGCACATTGTAGAATTGCGGAGGTGAAGGTGAACAGCGCGTCAACCCCGAAATTGGCGCAGAGGGGACGGGAGTCGCGGTTTGGATAGCAGAGACTCCAGCAGTTTGGGTCTGAGTCGATGGTTCACGGGGAGGGGGTCGTCGTGATCAGGCCTGGTCGCAACCACAGATCACGCGAATGGCCATGCGTCGGGGAAATCAACGGACTTACCGGAGTAGAACGCGTCCAGTATAGTATTGCAGTGACCCAAGCAATGAGGTGCAGAGTGGCGAGTGGTGGTCCAGGGGGGAGGAGATTGAAGGAGGAAGAATCAAGAAAGAAGGAAAGGCATAAAAGAAGCGGTAGATCGTTGCAGGACCGCGCCCCGGACGCTGATTGGCCGAAACGGGGAGCCCGCGGGAGCAGCAAAGACAAAACTCTCAGGACCTTCGACCTTCTCCTCCTTCTTCCTCCCTCTGCCCTCTTTTCATTGTCATTTACACCCCCAACGGGGTCTTTATTTGCACTCATTCGACTCGTCTGAGCTAGGAGATTCTATCTATTATATCTACAATTTAATATTTGTATATAGCTATATGTTTCCTACGCGATTATCAATTTCTACTCTCGGCCCTCTCCCGGTCCTGATCGGAGCATTGGCAGATCGTACTATGACCACCATGTTAGTCTACACATCACTCTAGGGGAATAACATCAAGATTCTATTGACTTGATGTTGTATTTAGAGATGTGTCACCCGCGTCCAAACATTGCGATATCTATTCTAAGCTCTTTTTGTTTGTGAGAACACCTAGCACCTCCCAACCTTGGCTTTGTTCCCAAACGCGCCTCGACCCCTTTTACATCCATTCGCAGGTCGATTTTGTCTTCATAAACCTAGTATCTACGTTTAATCAGTCATTGACTATAGGATTATTTGAAGGTTAGTAGTCATTTCATACAGATGCATGCGTCCAAAGCCTTACACAACCGGGGCCATACTACTTGACCTTCATCCCTGATTAAGAGACCTATTGTTTGTATTTGCATCAAGGTCTACTCGCACTTCCACTGTAATAGAGTTCCTCTTTACGACATGACTAGATAAAACAGGCAGGGTTATCAAAGGGCTTTGTATGCAATCCTTGCAAGCTACAATGCCTTGCATTTCAATTTATTTGCACCCCATATCTATTGCAAAATACCTGTGGACTGTTCCTAACGCATAGATCCAGTTTTAGACAATCAGTCATAGCTAATGTGAAGATATGAAGTGTCGCCACTCACGGGGACATAGGGATTGATGCGCAGTATCGACTCAGATATACGTTGCTTGCATCCAAGCCTATCAGTCCAGCACCGGGTACCTGTCTATATGTATACCCGGTTTACTGTATACAAGGGCTTAATTATGCATATTGTCAATGCAAGGATCCGCTCTGCGACTACCTCCAAGCTTCCTAGAGTAGTTGCGCCAGCTGTTGATATTAATGATCAATGCATAAGCTATGTACTTTTAATATGATTATATCGGAGTACCATTAAGTGGATAATTTGCTCAAGTACTTTGAGAATCGATCGGTTTTTTAATGAATTTGGTGAAAGTTTGGCAATATATATAGTGGGTGTCTCCCTACACCAATAACAGGTCCAAAAAACTACCATAACAGAATATAACAATAATAGAAATAGCCACGTAGTACAAAGCAATACAAAAATCAAAGCGAAACGGAAGCCTCCCCGGGTTTCTATTCCGGCTGCGTTTGCAGGCCAACCATGGATGAGTGGAGGTTAACCCAATTGGTCTAGCGTGGGAATAGACTCCTGTGATCTGTGGGTCTGATCCACGTGGATACAAACAGTGCAAACGGCACATTACATCATTTCTCTCGCCTACCAAAAAGTCAGGTATGCTGATACAAGTACAGTATTCCATACGAAAAGGTATCTGTTTATTTTGGTAGCAATAATCTATGCTGTGAAATAGACCACCATGAATCCCACCCAGCTTCCGACCACTCCGAGCGCGGAATAACTGCTCATAAACATCAAGGGCAGAAATTCGAGTCGGTCCCAACCGAAGATCAATTGGTGGCCCAGAGAGCAGTACACAATCAGAGGGATGGAGATGGTCAAGTAAAGTAGCGCCAGCCGATCAAAGACGAAGATACGGGGCCGCTCTGGGACGGGCGCGACTTGGTCAAAGACGAAGAGGAATAGCACCAACCACAGCACCGTGTAAACAGTCTTTAGGGGGAACTCGGCTGCTGTGAATAACAATGGGAAGAGTGAGACGTGTCCTGCCACTGCCAGAGGCCGAAAGGCGCTGAAGTACCGACGGTCCTTGAGTGCGATGAGGCTGAAGGGGATGATGATTAGGAGAATGGCCTTCTCGTGTACATGCCAGCCGAAAAGGAAGGATGCGTAGCCACAGAGTGTGATTGCTCCGACGAAAGTATCCCAGTCTGGACGGAACCAGAGCTTGACTAGAGGGATCTAGAGAATTGTGAGTGTGGGTCTATAACACAGAGGTGAAATGCGTACCAGTTGGAACAAGAAGGTTAGCAAGAAGGTATGCTCCTTGGTGACCTCGGGAAGAATGGCAAAGGAAGTATCTCCCACAAGTCCTCGCGTAACACTGTTCAAGGCGTCGGTGTTCACAGGGAGTCCCAGTCTTGGAGCAACTGCGGAAAATGTCAGGAAAGTTCTACTCTCCATGGAACCGAGTAGGAGTAGAAGAGTACTCACGTGGAATCAAAGCTCGATCAGTGAACGAGTACATTGCCCAAATATTCGGAGCCCAATAGGCATGGCACAGCCCCCGGGAGAATGGGAAGAGTCTATCCTTGAGTTGCAGCAACTGACCCCATTGCGCAAAGGGACCGAAAGCAACCGCGAACACACCAACCACACACACTCCAAGCTTGAAAATGTTTCCGAAACGAGGGCGGAATACCGATCTAGGATCCAGACAGTAGGCGCGCAGGAGGTAGACGAAGTATGCGAGGGCAAGGTAGAGATAGATATGTTTCATGCACAACAGGACTGCGAACAGGATCCCACTGTAGAGAAGAGTCGATTGCTTGCGGGCCAAGACAATTGACAGAATCAAAACGCCGTACATGAACCCATTGTATTGGAAATGGATGTGGTCGATTATGAAGAGGCCCGGGGATAGCAAAATGGAAAGACTAGCCACATGCGCAGCCAGCCTGTTTGGCAAAGGGACGGACTTGACGAATCTAGATGATACTGCGGTTAGCATTCTGTACCGCATCAACACCGAGAAGAAGCGTATCTTACCGACTTAGCGCGTATACAAGAACGAATTCCGTCAAAATGACAGTTGCTCTCTGAAAGTACACGGTCTGCCACGAGTCATAGCCCAGGTTCTTCACCACCAACATCGCAGGATCCACATATGCGGCTGCTTGGGACAACAGCCATTCAAAAGCTGCAAAGAATGGCGGGTAATCGAGTGTCCATTCGGAGGATTTCTAAACCAGTCCCCAGTCAGCGTCCACACTCAGCCTGCATGCGCTCAATAGAACCCACCTCGTAATACCATTCTTGAACAGGAAGGGAGTGGGTTATGGCGAGCCAGTTCCGATGAACCTCAAAATCGGTAGATTTACTATGATCAACAGAAAAGGATCAATTAGCTCAACACGAACACTCAACTGCGGCGAGACGGCGGGACTCACTATGCGGGGAAAAGCAGAACCTTGAACGCAGCAGCGACGATGGCGCATTGCGTTAGCGAGGGGTATAATTCAGCCATTGGAGCTATTGCGCATGATAATGCGACAAAGCTGGGAGCTGAGAGAAAACTGACGCGACAAAGGACAAAGTTTGAAGCTCCCTCCGCATGTTGCACGTGACCCGGTGCGGAGGTCAAATCAGAAGGGAAACAGAAGGACAGATATCAATACTCTAAGTGCGATATCGAGGAACACTCTCCGCATGGACTTCACGGACGTCGGAATCCGCCATACCCTTCTCAACAGTGTACAGCTTCATCACTTTTTTGATTTCTCGCCGTCCGCTGCTGCCATTGCTAAGGAGGCTCGTCTCTGCGTTATTGCCGTTGTTGTTGGCTGGATCACCACTCGTGTTGTCTCCAGTCTTTGCGATCGAGGACGAAATTGTGACTGTGATAAAGGCCATTGAGAGTGCTCAAAGACCGAAAAATTGCTGTTTGAAGCTTCCAGAAGCTCTCGAACCGCTATAGGTCTCCGTTGTCGATCCACACAACATGATGAGAACTTTAGCTTCATTGGCATTGTTTGCCGCGGGAGCCACAGCTCAGGTTATTGAGAGTTCAAGCTTTGGTGCCGGTAAAACGTCAGTGTGCATGGGTTGCATGGTCTTCAAGCATACTGACCTCAAGCAGGATATCACCCAACCGAGACTCCATTCCAGGATGGGCAATTGGAGGAGAGGGGCATGAGCCTTCTCTTGTAAGTGGTGCGATTAGACATTGATCTGTCTGGTCTAACAGTCAAGCAGTTGTCAGACAAGCTCATCTTAACACCACCTTACCCGGGTAACACACGGGGATCTGCTTGGGCACAAAGCCCGTAAGTCAATCTCTTGAATCCAAATACACGCTCAATGCTAATATATTGACAGGGTCTCTCAATCGGAATGGTCTGCAGAGTTACAATTCCGCGCGAGTGGTCCGGAGCGAGCAGGCGGTATCCTTCAACTATGGTATACCAAGGATGGCCAGGCCCGGATTGGTACCTCCAGTATCTATACAGTTGGTCAGTTCGATGGATTTGCGCTCGTCATTGATAATCACGGTGGAAGAGTAGGTTGCTCCCGATGTCCGCACATTGCACAGGAACTAATATCCCCACAGGGCGGAAGCGTTCGTGGTTTCCTGAACGACGGAACCACCGACTACAAGAGCCAGAGCAGCCCCGACAGCTTGGCCTTCGGTCACTGCGACTACGCTTACCGTAACCTGGGCCGTCCCTCAGTTGTTAAGCTGAAGTACACCAGCTCAATCTTCGAGGTCATCATCGATGACAAGCCCTGCTTCTCGACCAACAAGGTACACCATATCCAACATCACGCTTTTCAACATGATTCAATATATACTAACAAAGTCAACTAGGTCTCCCTGCCGGCCGGAAACACCTTCGGTATCACAGCCGCGACTCCCGAGAACCCGGACTCATTCGAGATCTTCAAGTTCATCCTCGAGCCCGCCTCCGGCGGCCAAACCATCGCCTCCAACCAAGGAAGCGTGCCCCAAAAGCCCATCGTGAACCAGAACCCACCCGTAGCCCAGAGCGGAGGCAACCCCTCAATGGACGCCGGCATGGCCGCGCAGTTCGTCGACCTCAGTGGCCGCCTCCAGCTTACAAACAAGGCTACCAACACCATCCTCCAAGATCTCAAGAACCAGGCCTCGAAGAGCGACGCTCGCCACACGGAGTTGCTCCAGAAAGTGGCAACTCAGGACCAGATCGCTGCCCTCCTCGACGCGAGACTCGCTCGCATCGAGCAGCTGCTCCAGAACATCCTGCGCGATGTCGAGGGTAAGGATTATAACAGTCGCTTCAACCAGCTGCATGAGACTCTGCGCTCTTCGCACCTAAGCCTGAGTGAGAACCTGCAGGGTCACTTGTTGAGTGGTAAGTCCATTTCCCGTCTCCATGCCCATCCTTGTTTCTTGTCCTGTGGACCGAGACATTTCCTCCCCATCCTTTCTTTCTTTCTTTGTTCATTCAATTGGCTAATCCCATTTCTTCCTTCGTAACAGTCATCACCGCCTCATCCCCTCGCATGGGTTTCTTCCTGTTCATGTTGATCGCGTTCCAGGTCCTCCTTGCAGTATCCTACGTCATCTACAAGCGTCGCCGAGCCAACATGCCCAAGAAATTCCTCTGAGCGCGTCCTTTTCCACCATGCGCACCTCACTCTCCATCCGATGCGTGTGGATCCGAGTTTTCCTCGCTCGATGCTAGGTCTTATTCGGAGGGAGAAATCTATAACATTCTCGGGTTTGTTCTTTCTATGCGAGCGCTGGTCTGCTGTTCCTTCATTCATGTAGAGTACGAAATGCCATTACGTTTACGCAAAATTGTACTTGTCGCGAAGATTACTGTTACCTTCACTGTTACTGCTACTGTTACTGTAAGAAATGAGAGAAAAACTTCAGAAAATGGCGAATATCCATTTGGCCTTTGGTCCATGCTATCGTACAGTTCTCCGAGCTGCCCGCCCTGTAACACATTCGCAAAGACAAGAAAAAAGAAAAGAAGAAAAAAAAGCAAAGTAAAACAACAATGAGAGAAAAGAAACAGGGGAAAAAAATGAGGTCAGGCAGCTCGAAGAATTAAATTCGAGTTATTTGTTGAACGATCGCAAGACGAGAGCGATCATGAAATAAAGATCAAAACGCCGGGTTTCCTTGATGCGAGCGTTGAAACAAATGAGAGCGAAAAAAAAAAAAAAATTTTGACGCCGAGATAGAATTTTTTTTACTCGGTGTCCGAGGTGTGCAGACGCTTCTGCGCCGGCTCTTCGACCGAATCCTGGTCCTTGTCATCGGCGCGCGATCGCTTGTTGCGTTTGAACATGGCCGAGGTGAAGACAGGAATCCGGGGCAGGAGGTCAGCGTCATCGTGCTCTGACTGCTGAGATGCATGCGAGGGGGCCTTTGGGGCCTTGGGGGGGTTCAGTGAGGTAGGAGAGGTGGCATGAGAGGATTCCACGGTGATGCCTTCATCAGTTCGAGATCCAGCCTTTGGCGAGGGGGGATCGGTCATGTGGCTTTCGCCGGGAGCTGGGTGGTCGGCTCGGGAGAGGCCGAGGAGAGCAGAGGCAGCATCAAAATCAGCGGTGGAGACTGGGGCACCGGTGATCATTCCGCGGACAGAAGTCGAGATTTGCTGCTCCAGGTCGGAGGCTAGGTTGTTCATTGACTGGGCGTCGGAAGCTCCGGTCAGTCCATTACGGGCGAGGTAGTCCTCGGTAATTTTCTTGGTCAGGTCCAGGCACTTCTGCTCAACGTTGTTGGCATACTTGGTCTGGCGTTCGAAGTGGTTGTCTTTGACAGTACTGATGAATTTGAGGACGACGTCGCCGGCATAGAAACGGGCACGACGTGCTTTCCAGTCGTCATCGAAAATACTCTGGTTGGGGTCGTCAGGGAGGCGAATGTCACAATCAATGAACTTCATGTTTTTGGGACGGCGCACACGACGGAAGTGCTGGAATCCATCGACCTCTTTGGTGGCAATCATATCCTCAGGAGTAACATGGTTGGGACACATCCACCCGACTTTGGGGTTAGGGGGATGTGCGCGGGGCGGATCAAGACAATCCAGATGGAAACGACAAGGGCAGTAATCACAAGTGATAATGGGTCGGCCTCCTGATGTATGACCACACTTGGAGCAGCGGATGAGATCTCCCTTCGCGTCGGTTTCACGCAGGTGTTGCGGGTTCGCGTAGATGGTAGGGCCATCTTGCTTGGGAGCTTTAGTCAGCCGCGGCAGGTGGGGCGCAGGCTTGTAGTAGCGCTGGTGCTTCGGGTTGCGGGCATAGTCGCGATCGAACACGATTCCCTCGTTGACACCCTCGAAATGGTCCTTGATTTCTTGGGGAACTTGGAACTCGGTTTTCTTGAAGTGCTTGGAGTGGGCGATCAAGGTCGAAAAGCTGTTGCGGATCGAGCACTTGGGGCAGTGCCACTCGCCCTGCGGAGGATTCTTGGGATCCAAAGGAGGATCCAAACAGTTGAAGTGGAATGCATTGTCGCATGTGTCGCAGCAGAGCAACTCGCCGCCCTTTCCACAGTGGTGGCAGTTATCACTGTTCTCAGGGGGCTCACTAGGAATCATGTTAGCAGGTGGAACGGGAGAAATGGAGCAGCAACGCGTAGAAAACACGTCAAGCAAATCAAACACGTACATAGAATTCGGCATGCGGCGTGGTTCGTGGTCTGCAGCCCAATCGTTAAACCGGACTGAATAGACGGAGTTGGAAAGTGAAGAAAGACTGGAGACAGTCGTGTCAACAGAGAGCGACCGTGCGCGCTGGGTATCAATAGGGTGCGATTTCTTCATGCTCTGGCGTCGTGATCCTCCGTTCATCCCGGCGAAAACTGAATTTCTAGCAGACACAATAGAGGGTGCCTTTGTCTTGTCTCCATGAAGAGCCAGGTCAAGAATTGAGGCGGAGCCAACGGGGAGGGATCGAGAGCGGTTGATTTCAGTGGGATTATCAAAGTTGTAAGGATGCTCAATGGCATCTGGGGGTCCCAGTTCATCGCGGCATGCGCTGTATTGGACAACTGGAGCATTATCATGAATGGTCCGCCCGTCGTAGTCACGGCGCTTGGCCTGCAGGGATTCATCCAACTCTGGATCTCCTTCCCATCCGCGCTTGCGTTTGAAAGATCTCTCGTTGACGGGGCATGGTTTCTTGGGCCGCTTCAGTGGCGCAGTGTTGGTCTTGCCGCTCGCAAACAATTCCTCGGGCCGGGAACCACTGGTATCGCGATAGATATCGGAGATTTTGAAAGCAGGTCCTTGCTCAGCGGACTTGACGGATGACAAGCTTGAGTCCTCACCGGAGGGCATGTCGGGGAGACGTGCGGCGCCGGTGTCAACGTAGTTCTGGTACCAGTTGCGGGCGTCGCTGTAGGAGTGGTTGATCATGCTGAGAAGAGCGAGCCGCAGCTCGTCATTGGCTGCTTGACCACCGCCTAAGTTGGCAATCAGAGAGAGACGGAACTCGTCCTCGATAGCATTGGCCCAGAAGTAGAGAAGCGCGAGAGCGGATTTGGCGTGGCCGCCCTCAATTGAATGGTTGATGGCGAGCTTCACTGTGTACTTGAGTTTCGGGATGTTGTATTTCTCGGAGGTAGGAAGAGGAAGAGAGTCTAGGACGGAGATGAAGTCGGAGTTGTTCGTGCTGGGATCGGGAGGAGGAAATGCGGGATCGAGCTCGTTGGCCGGAGTTGCGACTTCCGTGGTGATTGCGATATCTGCTTCTCCCGCGATGTCTTCCGCAGGGCTCTTGTCAACTGTCAGAGTCTCAGTCCCGCTCTCGAGGCCGCGCTCAGTTTCGCGGGCATCAGGAACAGTCGCGACGCGCTGGGTGGAGGGCGGCGTGACGCCAGCACCGCGGTACTCCGCGATCGACGGGTATTCCCCGATCGGCTTCATTGTCGGGACCTGAGGCTTGGGCTTCGAAGTGCCCGGGGGCTTCTTCTGAAGCTTCCGACGTTTCGGTTGCGAAGAGGCCTGTCGACCGGACGGAGTGGGCCCCGTAGGGGCAGGCGGAAGGGGCCTGTGCTAGGGTTAGTGCCACGCGCCTCATGCCCTAACTGTCCTTGGTTCAACGTACTGTGATGTTTTCTCAGCCTCGCTCGGAGTTGCAGTAGCTGTAGCTGTTAAAATATTAATATTGATCAGTTGAATATGAGCATGAAAAAAATGAAGCCAAAAAATGAAGGGAAAAAAAGTGTGTAGAGTGATGTCCCATTTTACCTGGACAGTACATGGGTTGGTCCACCTCAGAAGCGACCAAAGGAAGATTCGACAGGAATGAGATCACGAGCTTGGGGTCTCGATCGGATAATATGATGAAGACGTAGAAATGAGAACAGTGGGAAAGGGTGAAAGGTTTCAATCAGATGTTGGCAAAGACTAGGGAAATGGGCAAAGACAAGGAGTGGAGTGAAGAAGAAGAGGAGAAGGTCATGGGATTCAGGTGAGCAATACAGACATGGAGAGGATGTGAAGAGCTCCGGAGAGGTACAGACTTTGGTCTGGGGGCAGAGGTGAAGGGACTGAACAAACAAGTATCACTTACTTCGTGCGCGGATGCGCTTCGAAAAGCGACGGACACTGTCCATCTTGGTGGTTACGGAGAAAAGGGAACAGTATCAAAAGAAAGCAAAGAAAATAGAGGGTGTGAAGAAAGAGAAAGGGGTAGGAGAGAGAAGAGGAAGAGAAGAGGAAGGGAAGAGGAAGGGAAGAGGAAGAGAAGAGAAGAGAAACTTGGGAAAACAACTCGTGCGAGGCAAAGCTGTATTTCCTCTTTGGGAACATCAATATAGCTCTGCTGTTTTTGATTGGGCCTTCAAGGGTCTTCTGGCTTCCTTATGCCTGTGTCTTAAGGCCTGACATCAACTGCCCTTCAACCACAATAGGAACTACAATGCCTTTGCTTATTGGCATTGCCCTGCTCTACGTGATAGATATTGCTGTGATCCCCTTGATCATAGAAACAGATGAGTGCGTCTGCCTGGCTGTCAATAGCCAAAGGCCGGCTCCAGATGCTATTGTTGGATGCTATTGATATAGGCCATTGATTCCTGAATCCGAGAAATAAGAACCTGACGGGATATCGCGGCATATGCAATGCAAATCAAGACAACAGGAGCTGCAGTAATAGTAACAGTCACAGCCACAGCTTATATCTAGCACCCTTTGCAAATAGGGAGTAGGAGTAGGCCCCCAGATACATGGAGCCCCTGTAAACATCTTCCATCTTCCATCTGCCAGGACGACTACGAATAGATTAGGTATGACAGAAGACCTGTAGATATGTTAAATGCCCAGAAAGACATTATCCAGGACGTTGAGCCATCGTCTTTGCATTTGACCCTGATAACCCGCCCAGTCCAAAATCGTGATACCAAAGGCGAGTATCCGGATAATGCTTTGTGCGAGATGGAATTCGCCGTTGTTTCAAATCATCAAGATTCCAATTGAGTTCCCACGATTGCTTGTTAGCTGTGGCCTACTATGTCCTTGAAAGGGGTGTGGCAGGAAAAGAGACAGTGGTGTTGCTCCATGTTTATACACAGATAGGACTCGAATCGAGGAATCGAGCATCAACCATATCTAGCCATTGCTTTCAACGGCTATCATTGAGCATTACCTCAAGTAACAACCTCTGTAAATTGTGAACGGCCGAAAGTTACGCAATCTACAAGTTTAGAAAGATAGAAATAGCAACCTCATCCTGTGACAGGCTACAACACACAGGTATAGACTGGCAACGTCTTGATTTGGCCCAAGGGGTCTGCTCCAAATGCTACATATAAGACAGACAGGCCTCCAGGAAAGAACATAGAAAGGTCTCCCGGCGCCATGTTCGTCGATAAAGTATATACCGAGCTTTTTCTTTTCTCAAAAATCGGGGGTTGGTATTGCCAGCTCTTTCGCACGTCATTGGAAAAATCAACTGTTTTTCTTTTGTTTTTGGATAGATTTCGTATGACCTGCAGCGAAGCTCGTCATTGGATATCTGATTCTGCTTCTGATTCAGATTGGACAAAACAGTTTCCACAACTCGGTCGGTGTGTATTTCAAACAAAGTGAGCACAGAGTCCTTCGGCTACTTGATTTACTCGTCACCACCGGTGGTCTTGGTCTTCTTCTTGTTCTTGTTCTTCTTGTTGCCGGTGGAGCGGGAAAGGGGCTGCTCGAGGATCTTGAGGATCTCTTCATCCTCGATCTTCTTGTCCGACTTGTACTGCTCGGGGTCGACGGGGTTGGCGGCGGCCAGCTTGGTCAGACCGTTCTTGGTGATGGCTGGGAAGGGGGTTAGCTTCTATTCTTATGTGCATTGCGCGAATTCAGACGATACTTACCAACAGTGGTCAACAGACGAGAGACAGCGGAGCCGTCAGTCTCGCCGGCGGGCTCGTACTGGCGCACGACACCGCTGCGGACACACTCAACAACACCGACCTTGGCGGCCTTCTCGTCGTCGAGCTGGCGCAAGCTGAAGGGGAAAGTACCGAACTTCTTGACAATCTCGGACAGGGTCTGGCGGGAGCTGGGGCGCTTGAGGCCGTAGGTGGTGGTGGTACGGCGGTGGAGAGTGGCGCGGTGGTCAAGGGTCTTGACCTTACCGGATCCCAGAGAGAGACCAACCTCAACACCCCAAACCTCACCAACCTCGGGGACACCGTCACCACGGGTACCGTTGCCGGGGGAGAGAATAATCTTCTTCTCGCCCTCAATCTCGTTGCGGCCAAAGAGCCAGCTGGTAGTGTTCTCGACAACATTGACCTCGTAGGCCTTGGCGACCTTCTCGATCAGAGAAGAGATGTGGGCCTGGGTAGGGGCCTTCTGGGCGGCGGCCTTCTTCTTCTCCTCGTCGGTACCCTGGGCCAAAAGACCGGGGGGAACCATCAGTCTCAGCAGAAGCTCGTTGGCGTAGTGGGTAGCGAGAATCAGGTCAGCCTCGCGGCCGGTAACAACTTCCTTAGCGGCACCCTTCTTGGGGACGACAACCATGTCGCAAACAATGGTTCCGAATCCATCAATCTGAGCACCAAGCTGGACCTTGACGATCTCGCCGGCCTTCAAAACAGTCTCGGCCTCGGCGACGTCGGACACCAGAGGGGTGTAGGGAGTGACATAGGAGCTAGGGGAGACAGTGGTGGGGTGGCCGACACCTTCAGTCATACCGTACAATCAGTATGGATCATCTTCACGCGACCGGAAGGTGGACAAACCCTTGAGGATCTTCTTTCCCTTGTAGACCTTGGTGATCTCCTCGTCGAGGAGCTTGTCACCCTTCTGACAGATCTCGACAATCTTTTCGCCCTCAACGCAAAGAGCTAGATACAACGGTCAGATCGCAAAGCTTGAAGACTCGAGTTGAGGTGCGCAACATACCGCTCACGGCCTCGAGGACTTTGTGGGAAATCTGCGCGGCGGTCTTGTACTTGGTCAAGGTGTCGGGGTTGTTGAGGGTGTAATCTAAAAGCAATCACATTATTAGCTTTGACGAAATGGAGGGGATTTCCTTTGACTCGGGAGCCAACAGAGCTGGTCACGTTGGAACTGCCCACAAACGTCAGAGCTTTCTGGAGTTTACATACCAACCTCGGGAGCTTTTTCGTCCGCCATTGTGGAGTAAATTGAGCTCGTAGAGCAAAAACAGCTAAAATGCAGGTGGATTCGGGAAGAGTCTTCTCGTAAATCAGAAGAAGAGGAACAGACCGAAAGTGTGCAGCGAACGAGCAAGTGGGCTCGCAGCGTTAGTGGGTAGTGGGGGGAAACCGGCTGCCTTGGTGCCTTTGTGCCTTGATATTGAGGTGTCTATCTAGGGCTTCGGCAAAGACGTCATGAAATCGCAGTTTCATTGACCTCATGCATGACCCCCGCACACGGCACGAATGTTACTGCAGTTTACTGTAATATGTAAATTGTACGGACTTTGGTAACGTATACATTATGTAAATGTCGATGCATCTTACCCCAGGTTTGGAGCCGGGACAAGGATCAGGATCAGACAGGATCAGACCCCCCAATGACTTTTCCTCTAAACTTCCCCTCTTTTAGGTCTCAAGGTCTCCTGACCTCTTTCTATCTACACAATGAGGACCCCAGTCGTGCCCATACGAGTTTTAACGCATAACATCCGACATGGCGGCTCAGACCTGTTCAAAGGAGAGCTGCCTTGGGATGAACGCAAACAGCTGCTCTTAAACGAATTCGAATATGAAACTCGATACTGTGAAGAGTCATTCATTTGTTTGCAGGAGGTTCTCCATGAGCAACTGAGTGACGTTGTGGCCGGGCTGAACCAGGATATATATCCTGGAGCGTCGGAGTGGGCCTACATTGGTGTTGGCAGAGATGACGGCCACGAGGCCGGAGAATATTCCCCAATTTTCTATCGGCCATCGGTTTGGCAGCTAGCGCATTGGGAGACAGTATGGTTATCCAAGACGCCGAATATACCCTCGAAAAGCTGGGATGCAGCCTCGATTCGCATCGTCACCATTGGCGTTTTGCAGCATCGTAAGAGTGGGCATACGGTTCTTGCCATGAACACTCACCTCGATGATCAGGGATCTCGCTCCCGGCTTGAGGCTGCACGTATAATTCTAGGAAAGATCCACGAATACAGCCAGAATGACCTTTCCAATCTCATCTCAGGCATCTTCTTGGCTGGTGACTTCAATAGTGAGGAAAACCAAGAAGCTTACCAAGAGCTGACAACAAGCTTGCTGGATGCATATAAGCAAGTTCCAAGCCCACGACACTTTGGTGACTATATTACCTGGACTGGGTTTGGATACGAGGATGAACCCCGTTCACGCATTGATTATGTGTTGGTACCCAAAGAGGGTCCGAGGCAAAGGCTGAAAGTCGCTGGATATGCTGTGTTGCCAAACCAGTTTGATAATGGTGTTCTGAGCTCCGATCATCGTGCTGTCGTTGTGGATTTCATACTATAAGACAATCTATGACTCCCCATGGTCATCGTCGATAGAATTTTTGCGTATTCTAGTACGACCTGCCTTGGGCAAAAAAAAAAAAAAGTCAAGTTGCAACCAGAATAATAAGGCTAGATCAAAAGAGGTCGTCAAAAAAAGGAGTTGAAAAAAGTAGAAAACAAAAAAAGAAACTCCGATAGGGGGAATCGAACCCCCGGCTGTCGTGTGAGAGACGACGATGTTAGCCACTACACCATATCGGACGACCACGGTGGAGGCTGCTTCGGGTTTAGCTTTTTCAAGTACGGTTTAGCGCCACCGGTCGCTATACGTACCCGTGCGTGGTTGTATATAGTCCCCTGCTCTTCCCCCTCCATCCAACAGCCCCGATTTCTTTTTCGCCTTCCTTTCTCCTACGCCTCGCAGGTGAGGCATTTTTGCCATTGACCCGGATCACCGAGCTCCTGAGCTCCGCCACCCTGGTTTCCCTGTGTGACTCGTCATCACCTATACGCAACTTTCCGTCCCCTCATCCTAATCAGGTGCTTACTTTTACGCCCTGATGCTAACCCACTGATTCCCTGGCCTCATGTGATTTTTGTCGGTCAATCGTTGATCCCGTTATCGGCGCGTCTTTCGCTCGCTCTAGACAACCGCCTACGCGAACTAGGTCTACGAATTCACCGCAGTATACAAAGAACGGAACGCAAGGTCTTGCCACACTTGGGCGATAGTGCTCGCTTCATTCTGAAAATGAGGTTGACCTGAATCCAACGTGGCTTATTTGACCGATGGAACTGTCCTAGCCGCGATTCCTTTCGGCCAGTGCATGCGGACTCCTCAAATATTACGACGCGAATGATCTATGCCCGGACTTCATGATGTTCTCTAGACTCAGTTTGCAAGATCACCATGCGAAACCGCCTACGGGTTAGGCAGCGTGCAAGATGTCGATCCCTCCTACCTACACCCGTTTGCCTTGCGGTCATTTAGGAGATCTGCGCAGGCCTGGCCCCTAGTCACTAGTTCGCCTTATCAGCGCAACCATCGATCGACCTTATAATCGATTGGTACAGAGGATGAGATGGAGGGACCCGGAAATAGGTCTACTGTTACAGCATCGGCGTCACGCGGACTGGAGACGACGTGGCTGCCTCTCGTCTCCGGTATAGTGCGCTAGTCTCGTCTCGTCTCTGGCCTATGATCGAGGAACGACTGGCAAGCAGGACCCAGTCGGCCCGGTGGAAGAACAGTGCGCTCTGGCCCAGCCCAGACATACATCGCCTTGCCAATAGCAACAGCCTGACATATCATGATTGATTGCTCCAGTCCGAATACTATGAGGCAATTTTGCCTTTAGTCCGCTGCCCCGACCTACGACCTGCAGCCTCACACACCGATTCGCCGGCCGATTGTCACCGCAGTGGGTCCCCAAAACTGCCTTGAGGATGCAACGGCCGAATGTTAGAACACCGAACACGGCCGGGATCATACTGCTCAGCTTCTCCGGCTAGCATGAACACACGTTTTCTTTTAACGAGAACCGCATTCGTGAGACCCTACTCGAGACCAATGTGGGCTTGAAGCTCAGAAATTGTCACATCTACAGACTGAGTGCAAGTCTCCTCTTCACCCCGCACGACACTATCGCGCGCGGTCACCGAAACTCCAAAGATCTACCCAGGATCCTACCACCAAGACGCCTTACCGCAACATTCATCGCCTCACGATCGATTTGGTACCCAGGACGAGATAGACGGACGAGAAAACAGGATTTCTTCGCAGCAACAGCGTCATGCGCACCGAGAATAGCCAGGAGAAACGCGCTAGATCATCCTACACGTTTCGTCTTACCTCTCAGGTCACAGAACGACTGGCAAGCAGGACATGATCAACCTAGAGATGGAACCTCTGGGCGCAAAAAATATGCAGACCTACGGCTTCCAAGAATAGGAACAACATCTTTCGATATGTTCATTGGGCTACAAGGATGAGTAGGTATGCGGCAGTTCACACTTCATGCATTGCGCATGGGAACGATTGGCAGACAGGCAGGGCTTGTTTGGATCAAATCCTGCCTTGCGACTTTTGCTGTCTGAGCTTGAGAATTAGCACAAGGCGTAATAGATGTGGTATTGGGGAGGGGGCGGTGGGTTTTGAGGTATAAAGCCACTTGTCTCGCGCGAATCCTTCATTGCAACAACAGAATACAAATCAAGTCTTTTACCAATAACTTAAGCATGGACTCCTTCACAGAATACGAAGACTTTGGTGAGAGATCTAATAGAAGCAGTTTTGACCACGCTAACTTGGGATTTTCGAAGCATTCATCTCGCTAGAGCATCCAGACTTGTCTGAGGTAGCTGTACGCGAATTCGTCGATTCTTCAGACCTAGGCACGGAGGCCAATCCTATCGTGATTGAAGACGATCCTGCTCCGCTAGGCTCGGAATCTAATCCTATCGTGATCCACGTCGAAGAGCACCGAAGCTATTCTGAGACTGAGCGACTTAGTTCTGATAGAGACACGGAAATCATCTCAGAGTCTTCATGGGAGCGACACGTTGACATAGCTGGTCGTTCGACCCCTATCCCAGTGCCGACTCAATTGTCGGCCTGCAAAGACCCGGAAGAGCCGCAAGCGTCCGGGCAATCACCCGCAAATCACCTCCACCTGGACGGCCAAAACCTGGAAATGGCCGGGAATCGTTTCCATGTCGAGCACAGCCCTAGTCAGGAGTATGGAAAGGGCAAAGAGGGTAAGTCTTCAACCACCTCCGGGGCTGGCATGCCCTCTACAATTGCTTACTAACAATAACTAGCAAACCAGCGAAGGAGCGAGCAAGGAGATGATTTGAAAGTAGAGAAACCCGCGAAAATTCTCAGCTTGCTTGAAACCGTGGTTCCCAGCGATTCAGTGGGATCAAAGAAACGTAGATCATTACACGGCGAAGGAAGTAAGGTCCGACGATCAGATCGCTTGGTGAAAAGGGCTATGCACTAAGCTGGTTGTCTGTTCCTAGGCAGAATTTCATTATGTCACATGATTCAAATTTCTAGTAGTCTCATAGCCGCTACCCGATTTCTATCAATGTGTATAGGATTCCCCGTCACTATAGCACAATAGCGTCATGATCGCTTTAGCCTCCCTCCTTTTCTTTTACTAGTGACGTGAGTCGGTCACGAGCATTGTTGACCTGGTTCATTGCTTCTTGGACGGTTTGAGCGGCTCGGGTCTGCGCGACACATCCGCAATTCATATCGTCTTCATTGGTAAACACCAGGACAGGAATTGTGAATTAAGATAACCACATACTGTTGTGACTGAGTCGTATCTGTAGCACGTATATACTCCACAATAGCTCCTCTGACGCTCTGTCCAGCTTGGATGCCATGTCAACTAGCGTTGCCCATTCGACAGCGACGATGCTGCCATCTCGAAAGTCTTTGATGACTTCTACCATACCGACACGCTCGATAACGGACCTTTGAGTCACGAGATCTCGAAGCTCAGCTTCGACATGTGTAAGGCGATGAGAGGAAACAAATATGATGCACACTGTGCTCAGAAGGTATAGGTGCAAGAGAATTCTTAGCATCTTGAGATCTTGGAACGAAGTGGAAATACATTTTAAACTGTGGTATCCCAGTGCTGTATAAATATCTCGAGGTTGTCGCGTACACCATGAGTCATTAGAGTGGTCGTGTGCATGATGAGTCCGTCTTGCAGAATCACATTGTTGGCGCTAAAGGGTACTGCTGATCAGGGCAAACCAAAATATTTGTAGTGGTTGACGACCTTCCTCCGAACTTTCTACACCATCTCAAGTTTTTAATTTTGCGACACCATAATTGTATAGCCTTCCCTTTTATTATGACTTGTCTTGTAATGAGTCACTGACACGTTGATCGTTAGGCGAGTATACTGAGCATGATCGAACCCGACTCTAACAACCGGACAGCCCTTTGGTATGCTGTTTCCGAATGCAACGTAACAGCAGTGGAGCTACTACTTAGGAGCGGAGCAGACGCACTCTCAGTAGATTGCGAAGGAATTACTCCGCTGAATTGTGCAATACTGCGAGATAATATATGGATTACACGACTCATATTAGAGCACTTGACCACTTGCTTTTCCACGACAACATTTCTTAACAACAAAGATGTCAACGGCTCCGAGTTACCACTATCCCTGTCTGCTCAGTTCGCACGTACACGGATGATCGAGCTCCTACTCGAATTTGGTGCAGACGTAAATGCGGTCAATTGCCACGAACAGACTCCTTTGCACCAAGCGGTACATCAAGGGCATATCAGTGCCGTTGAATTACTACTTAACCAGCAAGGCATTGATCTACAAGCACAGAACAACTACGGATCTACTGCTCTTCACATCGCTACCAAGCAAAACAATTCTTCTATTGTGGATTTGCTTTTGGCTCATCCGGATATCGATATCAACTGCCAAGACAATCACGGGAATACACCTCTCTGGTGGTCTACTCGGCTAGAGGATAATGGCATCTCTAGCCGACTGCTAGCCAGAAACGGCGTGGATCTTAATGCTATCGGCCAAAAGAACGGTCTATATACAACAGCTCTCTATCATGCTGTAGAAAGAGGAAATTATTTGCTTGCAAAACAGCTTGTTAAACAGCCAGAGCTAGACCCAAACATCCTTGGGTCTTTCCATTGGACACCCCTAGGACACGCCGCACGCGATGGCAATGTTGATATGGTCGAGCTACTGCTTGAAAGACATGATATTCGTGTTAATGCAGAAGGTTCGGGCGAGTGCTCTCCTCTTTGGCTCGCCACAAAATATGGTAGAACCAAGGTGGTAGAACTCCTACTACAGCAGGAGCGATTGGATATCAACTGTCAAACAAACAAAGACAATGAAACTGCATTATCAGCGGCAGCTTGCTCCGGGGATCTACCTATCGTGAGGCTCCTTTTGAAGGACACACGAATAGATATCAATGCTGTGAACAAAGCGGGCAAAACTGCAATCTGGCTCGCTGCTTCAAACGGACACTTCACAGTCGTTATGGAGCTCTTGCGGGATTCAAGGCTTTGCTGCGATGCGGAATATATCGCTATGGCGGGCAATAAGTAGACTCAGACAAGGAATACTGGACCCGTTTGATTCAAGAAACTTGACTGTATGGCTCTTGAGGACGAGTTCAGCACGTACAGCGTGTATGAAGGCTCAGACGGAGGCGCAGTATATGTAGTTGCTCAATCTAAGTCTTTCCCCTCTTGCCTTGGTTCTTCAGCGATTGGCGCTCAGTCTACCTAGTAGGGATAGGATGATGCACAGCTAATGCATAAAGCTGCGGTTACCTGGAATAGCAACAGAGCTGTACGATGTTTTCCAATCAAGAAGACTTGCGTGTCGTCATCAAAGAATCAATTGGAAGGCAGGACCCCAAGGGAAAAAGCACTATGCGCAAGATCGAATCTTGTGACCCTCGAGGCTGATAGCCAACTGAAGCTGTCAGCCTAATTGTCTTGTTAAATAACGGCGTGAACGATAACAGGAAGCATATAAATCCAAGCCATGCACACTGTCTTGAACCAAGAATTCATCCAGTCCATAAATATTATACATTCAAGACTTCTACTCTGCGTTTCTCGGCCCATCATGCTTTCTCGAACATCAATGACTCTGAAAAATGGAGCATCGGTTTGTCCAGCGTGTTATGCATTGTGGACGAACGACTACATGGACCTGACCCATGATTTCGCTCCATGGAGCTTGGACTTCAATCCCACCGTGAATGCCAATGAGAGCCGTCATGATGACGAGGTCTATAGCTATGATGGCCGGCATGATACCAGTAAAGTGGACTCGTTCACGCTTTACGACAGTCATGCTGCGTCATGCTTAGCCTCCAATGGTATAGCCATTTTTGATGAGAGCCTTGGTCATGATGGGGAGAGCGATCTCAACATGGAGATTCTCGGTCTCCAGGAGAACATTTTCGATCGAGAACTTATTCTCGCGCCAGGCCATATCCCAACTTGCAACACACAAGGATTTGAACCGGTCAATATGGGCCCGCTTGATACCAGTATCGACACCGAGGGCATTACGACATCAGGGTTCTGTGCTACATTTCCCTCAACGGGTCCCGAAAAACCTGGAATAGGTCAATCTGGCTTTTATTCCGACAGTACAGCAATCAAAATGCCCCAGTTCTTCAATTGCACCGATGAGTGCTTTCTCTTTCCGCTTGACATGAGTACAGCTATTGATTCACCATCCATGGCAACATCGGGCAACATACTCGCCTACGGGGAACTAGAAAGCCTTCAGGCATTTGGGCAATTACCTACAAGCCATCCCTGCCTCGATGAAAGTGCTTTAGTCCTTACCGATATTTTTGATATGCGGGGGTATTACGGCATGGAGACTGAAGTGCCAGATGATCCCCAAGTCGGTAAGCTGAAGCCAAAGTCACGTAACAGGTCTCCTCTTAACAATTATTAGAAATATATCAAAAGAGAAATCAAGAGGAACATTATGTTCCCATGCAAGTCAGCGAGAGTATCAGGCCGGACGTGACTGTTGAAAACGCTCTGTCGATACGTCGACGCTCACAGCGTTTGATTGAAAGGACTAGAGCCCAATGATGCTATTTTTAGCCTCATTGGTGCTTTATTTCCATTTAGTATATCCTTCGCGTCATTTTTGTGTTGGATGTATCTGTTATGTCTTTAGTAGCCTGCTGTTATCTTCCCCTCGACGGAAAGGACGCTGAATGGTCAAAGAAATTGGAACAACAAGGAGGCTGAAGCACATGCATACGATAGAGACGCTTTACGCACTTCTATAACTACAAGATAGAAAAAAAGAGCAGTATCATTGCTGCTGTCTACTAACCATATCTTTCCACCAAATCTCTCATAACATCAATAACCCTATTATTAGCCGCCAAATTAGATGTAGATTGAGAATGGCCTCACTGTGTGCGAAGTGTTTCATTATCGACACTAGTGTACACAGATCCTTCTCGATATCTGTCGAGATTAATGAAGCTGCGCGAAGCCTCAAGAGTGAGGAGTGAATTATATTCGACAGAACGCTCGGGTGGCCGCAAACGGGTCAGGAATGTACGAGTAGCGTTCCTATATTTGAAGACAGGGCTAATATGGTAAAAATCATGTGATCCATGGCCATGGATTGTTTTTGTTTGGTTTGTCATATGCTGCCTTTTCTATCAGGCAGAACTTAGACTGGTATTTGACGAGTTTGTTTCTGACTAATCGACCATGTGACCTAGCTCTATATCTTCTGCACTTCCACAGTCAATTCTCCCAACCCCCTGATTTCAAAGGTACCGTCAGAATGTCAATTTACCTCTGGCACTGTTACTCGGCTGCAAGGGCTACCTGGAAGTTACTTGTTGAAGGCGCATCCAAGATCTTTTCTGGTATATTTCCGCTATTTTTCAAAACCTTCTCATCCAATCCTTATAAGCCGAATGATCTTGAGTCCAATGATACTGTCGACGCTACCTCGAGAACTCTGGACTACGTGGCCTATACCCTACGGCCAACATTTCAGTCTGATCTGAAAACAGTGGGAATAGGAGCTTCTGGTCAAGTCTACGAGGTAGATGAGGAGATAGTTCTCAAGAGTTGTCGCATTTTCGAACAACCAGGGAGCGACGCCTCTGACAACGACCGATACCACTACGCCTCAGACACTATTTTTCTCTCGAGCTTGTTACAGGATGAACGAGTCGTTCTACGGCTACTGCAAAAATGGCCACATCCTCACATTATCGAAGCTATCGACACTGATCAAGTCGAGGGTATATTCCTTCGCAGGTATCAGACGTTGCCGGAGGGTGCGATAACCACGCAACCTACTCGAATTAGGTGGTATTGTGAGATTACTGACGCGCTTTGCCATATCCACAAACTTGGAATTGCTCATGCGGATATAAGGATTGACAATATCCTCTTTGATAGCCGGGGCTCTGCTATTCTTTGTGATTTCAGTGCCGCCAGTCCATTCGGTCAACCCAATATCGTTATCTTGGACCTTCCACTTCCAGTGAACGGACCTTCGCCAAGTCTTTCCGAGGCAACTGATATGTTCGCAATGGGCTCGCTTCTATTCCAGGTTGAGCATGGAATCAAACCTGAAATTTCTGTTGACAGAGATGGGGAATTGATTTTGCCTGAAATACAGACCAGTCATCAAGGCATCGATGTGATTATTCGAAACGCTTGGCTTGGACACTACAGCCGCACCTCGGAGATGCTAGAGAGCCTTCGTTCACTCGACAGTCAGATTAGCCAAGGTGTTCTTGATACCCAAAATACCCAAACCCACCCAGAACCAATTGCTGTTTTGAAAGAGCGAATCAGAAGATGGAGAGAAAGCCGCGAGATCAATAATGGTAAGAACCGCCCGTTACCTGATTTTTATCCCTGTTTCATGACTAATGTGATCTATAGGATGTGTCCTTGATGGTATGCTCTCAGAAGGGCAGCTACAAGTGCTAGCTGATTCCTATGGCTTGGACAAAGATGCAGAGTCACGTTTCGCTAGCTATGATGTGCCTTCGCAGCTATGTGAGTGAATATAGATTCCAGGGAGCCAATGATATCTGTAGAAGGCCTAGTACACAATATGTAAAGTTTCTGAAGTATAATGTTAGTCCTTATTGTATGTATGGAAGATTCATTGGTGCCGAATCTCTAAACTCTCTGTTTGATTTCTTGAACCTGGTACACATCACTGAAAAGAAGACAAAAAAGGTCATTCCCCTCGTAGCCTTTTTAACTCTTTCAGTCATGTTAAAGAAAAGTAAGACCCATTCAAGGAAAGATAATTTCTGACGCGGAGGAAAACAGAGTACCCATCAATATAGCAGCCAGACATATTGTTTTGTTGAGACTACTCGATAGTCGTGAATATTCATGAAATATAGGGACTTTATTCTGTATAGAGAACTATGTAAAGACAGGAAGGGCAGATCTTATAACAGTATTGTCATATGCCAACCCCATAGAAAAGATGATTGCAAAGAAGCTCTGGGAACAAAGATGCAATAGTATGATCTCGGAGACATTGTGACTGAGCTTGATATCAGTTTGATATGGAAAACGGGCGACTAATATCGATTGCCGAAGATGTCTCCAAGAGCAAGGGGTGGCCTGAATTCCTGAAGATTTTTGAAGTCAATGATGAAGCTCACGACGTAGGCGCACGGAGACCTACAAGATATGAGCCTAGTGGCCGTTGGAAGCTCCCCGGCACCTGGAGCATTTGTCTCGACGGTTATGGGAACTTCCCATTGGCACCTCAGGCCATGGTTGCGGGTGATTCTGACCACAAGGATGCGGTTCTCGTCTGGTTTCTCTGTCTCCGCAAGCGTAGATAGTTGTCGTAACCCACATTTGACACATGATGCGCAACTAGGTTTGAAGTAAGCAATAGACTGGCAATGTGTAGAGAAAGGTAACGAACTATTTGATGAAAAGTTTGCGGGTGTGTGGTGACTTAATATAGACCTCGGAAGTATAATCAAATTGCTTCCGATGGGGGTAATTGCTCTATTTTATGTTTAGAAACTGCCTCCACTACTTTTGTAGTCTCCAATACAATAAATATTGGGAATTTCCCGCCGTAGGCACACAATCGTGCACTGACAAGGAGCGGGCCTGGAACCTAGGGCGGCACACTGCAGCATCCTTGTTGAGGTAAAGGCGGGCGCAGCTCGCAACACAACATCAGAATAGAACTGGTCTAAAAGTTGGGGCCCAATTAGATGGCACGCTCAATCTAGAGCCCTGGAGGTTTGGACCCCAAATACGGGCTGTGTGACAGGGAAGACAAGTCCGTGGTGTAGAAGTACTGACTAGTGGACGTAGACTATGATAAGATTGGATGTGGTGCCTTCAAAAGAAGGGCTGGGATAGATTGGTGATCTAGCCCTGCAGTCCTCCAATCATCACATTGTGTCACTGATGACACTCGTCATATTTTAGTGCAGCGCTAATGTACAAGGCATAACGCGACGCAGTGTGATGAATGTCTGTTGGTGAGCACAGATTCCAATCTCAGCTCTATCCAATGTTTGCGTTCGTAGTGTCCGACTGAGATTAGAGAAGTGATCTACTTACTGGCTAGACCGTGTTGCTCGGCCCCCACTCTCTCCCCGCAGCCTCCACTTTACAGTGAGGCGCGGAAACCGCAACGCAGTAATGTCGTGTCACCTGCCGCAGGTCACAAAAGATTGGTCTAGATTATGCAAAGTTGGCGCCGCGGACCCACATATTGTTCTGGCAGAACAATATGTGGGTCCTGAGTAAAGGTTTATAGTGTGCGACCGCAACTTCTGGTACCTTTCTCATCATCAGTCAGTTATGGATCTTTCTTCAGCCTTAGACACACTACGGACTGCCACAGATGAAGCTCTCCAATCTCGGTTTTCAGAAACAATCCTGACGCTCTCAATCCTTGGCCAGAGACTACAAGTCAGATTTCTTTCAACCACACCGGCTACGGTTGATACCAACACCCCCCCGCCCAGCGATTCCGGAAGGGACAGTCCTTTATCCACAACCGAATCGATCACCGATCACCTGAGCACCTACGAAAATACTGTGGATAGTTCGTCGCCATCACCCAATGAATGTGCGAAAACATTACCAAGGTACAGAAGCGACGTGCCAAATGTCACGGTGCAACCTACTGCCAACCTCCTCCCAAAGAGAAGACATCGTCGCCAAAGCCAGAAAATCAAGAAAAGTACAGTTGAGAAACTTGCTTGTGCTATGCAGGATCACATACTTTGGCTTCAGAAAACCATCCTCATGGGCAACGAGATCATTTCGCACAAGAGAGACCCCACAGAGGATCCCAGGATGGAGGATTACAGACGGGTGGAGGGAGATAATACGCCAAGCAATCAAAATAAGCTTCTACGGCTCTTATCGATAAGATCTCTCGCAAAAGATTTCGCACAAGAGACGCGTGGCCAGGATAGATTGGAGACTCTCACTGGATTCGTCCTTTCCATCCAAAGCGGGAAAATTGATCCCAAGGATTGCAATTCGTCTCAATTCAAGGGCCGGTGTCGCCAGGTATCGGAATTTGTTAACCGTCATCCTAAACTCTCCTTAGCATCCGATGCAAACAGGGCCATCAATAAGGGGATCAAACATCTACTCTTTGAAAGAGTCCTCAAGAAAAGGCTCGACGATCTCAAACTGCCAAATATGTGTGAAGCAGTGTCAGCAATCCTCGGGCTATCAATGGATGATTTCAAAAGCTTGACATTTGCGCAAATGCCACAACTTGTGGATGCTCTTGTGTCAGATAATTTCAGCATTTACCTGCGAACGGAAGATGAGCCACACGGTGAAAAATGGCATATATTAGATGTTATACGAAGCATTGATAAGTGGTTTGCAAGTCTTCAAACTCGTTATAACAGTTAGTATAACATCCCAGATCACTCTCAAGGCTTGAACTCAAGAGTCCCGCAGATGTTCGAATGAGGGAGTCAATACCCGAATTTGAATGGCCAGGTGCGAAGCGTTTTTGTTACGACAACCAAACCGCAGGCCCACAATATTCGCCATACTCTTCTACATATCACCAAGGTGCGAGCAACTTGCGTACGCTGCAATTCAGTATCGGAAACACGACACTCCCAGAACCAGAAAATCAGAACCAAGTACCCGAGCTGTCACAAAATCCTTTTGATTTCGCAATTCCACCGTTACCTACTAGCGAATGTCCTCGATCGGACGTAAATCCTTCACTCGAAAATATTTCGCCCGACGAACTCGATCACTCATTCGATTACACCTTTCAAGGAACGCCATACGGAAATCAACAGATTCTTGCTGATATCGAAACCCAGCCAGTAGACTACACGATCCCATGCGACCCTCTGTTTAGTGAATTGGCATCGTGCTTATCCGCGCAACTGTTTGACTCTACGCTTCCTCCTATTTTTCCAACGTGATTTTACTATATGATGAATTTGGGCTAAATTTTAATACCTAAATTATGTCCTGTCTAGGGTGATTACATCGAACGCTCTTGGTTCTCGGACCCCACGATCATAGCGGCGTATTGTTCAAAGGGGTAACATGACGTACATACAAATCATAATATGACAGAGCAGGAAAATCTTTACAGCACAAAATATCAATTTCCAAGCATGTATACCCATGCTCCCAATTTACCGTTAACGCCGGGTTGGTTCTGGACTGATAGCTGGCACTCTCCGTAGACGTGATAATGCCATCCCATTTGCACTGCGCAGTCCCCAAGCATGACTTTTCCAGAAATATAAAAAGGTATTATAGCCATGTACGGTTGTCCAACCCGGGTTTCCCCCGGAAAATACACTTGGATTGCGGGCTTTATTCCTCGGTGTTCCAATCGACGCTCTCTTCGTAATTCGCTGCCCTGGGAAAATGGTTAGTATATCGACAAAAACTGAGGAGGAGAGATATTTCTCACAGAATAGAGCTTTTCAATACGCGCAATCATTTCTCTACCATGGCCTTGTACCAAGAGCGTCGCCGACGTTCGATTTGGGGCTATCGATAAAGATTCAGCTGCGATCCGGTCATCTTCGCAGGCTTGGTTGTAAAGATCCTTTTCGGAGACTGGGATCTGCACCGAATCTATCAAATCGGCTCTTGAGCCTCCGGGCTCCATGGTTGCTAATTCGAGAGAAGACAAATTGTCTAGCGCAAGATATGCGTGTTAGTTAGGGAGGAAGCTTCTTTTGGTATAGCTACTGACCTCAAGCCACATATGCCATGGGCGGAAAAGCAGCGTGTGAAAGCATGTCTTATTATTGAAGTTCTGCGGGGCTACGTGGAGGGGTTCTGTGATGCCTAACATTCCGGGTCGATGAGTCATGTGACGGTTATGATAAGATTGTGTTCACGTGAGTATGCCCAACTCGTCACCAAATGATTGGATTTTCTTTGTATCCCCAAATACCACCAGACACATTGAGTTTAGGGGAGTGGTGAGTGTTATAGTTAATTGCATATAGAGTTACGCACAATTTATTTCTCTAGAGTTATTTGCTTGTGATTCACTCAAGGTAAGAAGTTATAAGTATCGCATGGTATGCCCCAACAGAACCTAGGAATTATGAACCATCTCAAAACCCATTTTCAGCTTATAATGAGCAATTTATTTTCTTGCATTGCACCGAGAGCTTCAGCCTCTACACCTCAGGTCACGAACAGCTGGATAGGTTAGTGTGACGGTTTATCCAGTCGGGACCAAACAAACAGACTTATACTTTGGACAGAGAATATGGACGCGAACGAGTTTGACGACCGACAATTTCTACGCACACACAAGATAACCAGCGAAGAAATCTCCAATATCGGTTTGACATACACAATTCAACAGGAGGAAACCAGGTATTTAGGGGAAGGCAGATTGACAAAGAGATCACACGAACTTAAGCTCTCTCTATCAGAGCTTGTGTGCGATGAAGATGGTCTCCAGCTCCTTCGAGATTGGAAACCGGAGCGGCGTCTCAAAAATGGATATTTCAGATACACACACCAAATAGTCAGCCAGATCGATTCACCTGAGGGCAAGGTCTACAAGGTTGAAAGGAAAATAGACCATTTCGATTCTAGATGGACCCTGGTTGAACAGGCCATAGAGGGTTTTTTGGTCCCTGTTCAAACTATGTTGCGCAGTGAGGCTGGAGGCGTCCTTCTCAAACAATGGGAGGCGCTATCCCCGAGCAATGTGTGAAGCAGTCCTAGGAGGGGTAGGGCATACGCTGTACCTAGTGGATAGATAACGGAATTGCGAATTGCTTTTGTCAGGAACTGCTTGCATGTATCAGGTCGACAGAAGTAGGTGTGTCTCTCTATACCACACTAGCTGCATTCCAATGTCAATTTCAAGCATATCATGCAAGGCTGGACCGATGCGATTGAGGTTCTTGTCATTTTATTTCATGTATTTCTCTCGAATATACCAAGTCGCTCATTGCCTGGACAATCATATATCAGTATGCTCAATATGCTGCAGTATGATCTATTCTCTCTGAGAAGATACAGCTCATACTCCGAAATCCTTGGAAAGGCCTTTGAAGATACAAAAGCATCTAGAAAGAATATAGATCGTAGCCAAGTATATTTATTACCCCTGGCCCTAGACTGGCTGGACGCAATATTATGGAGCCCTTGGCACTCGTAAGTATATAAAGAGTCTATAATTTCCTGACTTCCCGGAGCAATATCAAATCCTCAACCTTTTCTTTTCAGCATCGAAAGATTTTGCCCATAAAGGAACAATATGCCAAACCATGCTTCATCGGAAAGCATCAACGCTCTTAGCCTAAAGAACCTACGCGAAATCAAGCATGAACGACATATGAGCCTTAACCGATACTGCAAGGCTCAGCCCTCCGAAGATTCATGGTGGTATCCTGCAACACCGACAGATCGAGAAAATAATAAGCTCAGAATCATGAAGCAATGTGAAAAGATGTGACCAACCCTATTCAATGAAATTGGAGCCGACGGATTATATGCAATGTAGGTATTTCTCCTTTGTTGGAACTTCAGCAGTCTCTAAGAAAGCACAGGTCTTAATTTTCTATCTACTTTTGGTATGACTAGAGGTTGTTGGGAAAAATGGCAATGTACGATAGAAAGCATATACTCTGCACAAAAGTGAAATTAGAAGTTGTGTTTTGCTATGTGCCTAATTCTCTATAGCGAACAAGTGGAAAAGGGTTATTGTTACTACGAGAAGGCTAGACCGTTATCGATATTCACCCGAGGCGTCCGGATTTCCGTATAAATAGTCACCCATCATCGTCGGGATTTGCGCATATAAGCTCGAGACATTTTCTTCTACTCTAAGAGTCTTCCTATGGATCGAGCCCCCGCCAGATTATTGGTATATCAAGAAATACTACGATTTTGTCCTGAAGGTTATAAAAGGACATATTTCTACTGTCCAAGGTGTCCGTCGATCGCATCTTGCCATTGAACCAAAAATATATCCATGGTGAGTACCCGCACCTCTCGCTAGTGACGGTGATATGCTTACATCAGAAGTCTGCCCCGATTCCCGTTCAATTCCTGCATGGACCGGCAAAAGTTGCTTTGAAGGAAATGCTCTTTTTGAGAATTGAATCTCCGTCCCTCTTACAATGGACACCCACGGACACCCTCAGCCAAGATGCTAGGATGCTACTAGACTTTTGCAAGGCTTCGAGAAGCAGAAGAATCCAGGGACCACATCCCGATTGGAACTCTCTCGAAAATGATCTACGCGTCTACGTAAAGGATATTGTACACGAACTCAGTTATGGTACTGTTTTGATGCTAGCGCTGATGACTTGGCATTTTAATGCCTCATCTTTGAAAGCATCACAGGGCTTGGTTATTTTCTTGAGACGGCCTTATGACAATGAAGTGAAGAGAATACTGCAGGAACGGTACCAAAGCATAATGCGTGAAATGGCGCCTTTAGATTTAGACTTTTTGCTTGTATTGGATTGAGCCCCATTTAGTGACCAATGAAAGTGAAAACGATGTTACTTATTATATCTGTTTTGCTCAGCAGTAACTGAGCTTTTCAAAGCGGTTACAAATTTCTTCCAGACGTTCCTCGTACCAGCCCTTTAGAACGTTGTGGATCTCTATCCGAGAACTTTTGCAAGGCTACACTTCTTCGCATATTCCTGCTGGTAACAAAGAGCTCACTTTGAGTCAAGATCTCTTGCCGGTTGTTGCAAAATAATCGGATTACCGTTGCTCAGAAGAGCGGATTTTGTAGTCCCATACTTCCCCAAGAACCATGAAATACCGGGCACAAAAGAAAAATTAGAAGTTATGTTTTGCAATGTTCCTCACTGTTCTATAAAAACAAGTGGAAAAGGTTGTTGCTACGAGAAGGCTAGACCATTACCGATATTCACCCAAGGTGCTGGGGTTTCCGTATAAATAGACAGCCATCATCATCAGAATTTCCGCATATAAGCTCGAGACATTTTTCTACTACTAGAGCAAGGTAAAAGGGACCCCGAACTCTATACTAAGACTTACGCTAACTTAAGCTCTTCTATTACAGGTTCACGCGAGCAATTGCTGCCTCGTTAATCACTGCACCAATATCTAGCAGGTGTGCAATACCATCATTTCATAATAGCAGGCACCAAGCTAATATATAGTGCGAATAAAACAGTCGCCTGTCATGTGTCACGATATCACCTACAAATATACATGTCCCCACGAGGAAAAGACCAAATTACCATGTCCTGAATTAATCTTCAAGGGCGTATGTGAAGAGGGACTCAAAGCCAGAACCAACAAGTTCACTTTCAATTGCTCAAAATGCCGACCGCCCAGCCAAAACCCCTTTGGAATGAACAAACAGAGTAGTGATGACGGATGAGCCAGCTGAAGTACAAGAAAATACATGATATCGATCAAACAAGCATTGCGTGTATTTATTTAAAGACTGGGGATTTTGCCTTCGAGTATCGACTTGTGAGATTCCAAACTTGTTGCTTAGGAGTTCTAACAAAGGACTGTCGGTTCATATGATAGTGCCAGGCCTTGAAGCCTTCCAGTCAGAATATACTATTTGCTGGTTAGTACTGAGCCACTTTGTAGGATAGAAGCCGGGTACCTGACTTGAAAAGCCCTTTGAAGTCGAGAAACCATTTTGAGTGCCGAGCCATAGCCCAAAGTATGAGGAGCACCCATAGAGAATTTGCAACAATGAAGAATTTAGCTGCTATTTCCATTTCCGATGAGTCTAGGAGGAGAAGATGAAGGGAACTGATAATTTCTTCGAATGGCAGTAGATAAATGCGATTTTTAACCCTAGCTGGTTCTTGGCTGCATCAGAATTTGGCTTGATACTGGCCGAAAGTAGCTGGCCAGAAGCTCTGGCAAAGTATGCGCAAGACTTTGATGTACCTACTCATATTTGCCAGATGCTGGGCTCTATACCTGGCAATATTATTATTATTATTTAATAAGTACTTCCTTTCCATCTTCATTAGAAAAGAAGTTATTCCCGAACCTGCTTCCTCTGATTTTTTCCATGCATCTCTTAAGACTGATCTAGTCCCAAGCTGCCTAACGAGTAACGCTTCTTCAACCCGGGGAAACTGCTGTTCTGGCTCCAACCAAGATCTCCAAGACGCACAATCTATCGATTTAATCGAGACACCACGGGCCAAGACACCCAAACGGACGAGAGCCCATCCAAAAGTTCAGACAGTACGTTTGAGCTCTACATCATACCATCAGTTATCCAAGTCCTGGAAGAAGCAGCGTCGCGTGTCTGTCAAAGCCAATAAAATCCGAAATGTCTACCCAGACTCGGTCAAGTACTCCAGGCCCATACCCAACGACCAAACCGAAGGGAATCAGTCCACCCATTGAGATCGCTAGTCCCTCCGTAAGTACGCCTTCCGGCTCGTTTATTCTCGTTCCTGTCCGGATTTATCCCTAACAGCTCTCCCATGGTAGGCTAAGCTGCTAGACATAGGTCTTCTTAAGGATGTAAGAAAATTCACCGAATATGGCGGGATTATGGATGAACATAACTCAGTCGATATGAGTTCTGTCTGCAAACCAGACATTATTTTTAGTGTGGCTTACAACGACGGATCTTCTGGCATTGTACGCTGTGGTCCATGGATCCACGGGCGCACAAAAAGCATGCAGGAACTTTTTTCGCTTTATATCAAGGTTTGCCATGCTAAAGAAATGGTGAATTGGGCTTACTTGGGGAAAAAGTTTGGACTTAAGAAAGAGAATATGCTACGCCTTTCATGGCCGAAAGCAGGGGAAGTCCCGTTTTCTAATTAGACCTTCTATTACTGTTACTGGAGCAAAGAGCCTGTTGGTCTTTTCTCATCCCAATTATCTTATTCTACAGCTTCCTTACCTGCCTATCCTTATGCCTTATAGCTACTGAGTAACACCCTTATGAAAACAAAGCCCCTAGGTAGACGACAAAAATACTTTGACAAAGACAGTGCAAGCATAGAGTTTCGCGGGGTGACCTGTCAAAGGCATATGAATACGATAACGCGGATGCCAGTATGTTAAGTGATATTTTAGCAGGAACCATAAAGTAATAGAGTGTGAGTAAAGAGGTAAAAATAATCAAGTGCTATCAGGCAATCAACAAATAGTAGAGCAGGCAGTGCATCCGGACAGGGAAAAGGCCCATCCGCAGAGCAATAGCCTGACATCTCAAATTGCCAAATCCGATGTGTTACAGTTATATTTTGGAGATAAATTTATTTTGATAGTCTTAGAGCTCAATCATGATTGATTTTCGTGGATCTTTTACCACTTGTAGAAAGAGCGTCGTGAAATTCCTTAAACCGAAATAGACCTGCATGTCACAACCGGGTTCTTTTATGCCAAGATATTCGTTCAAGCTCGGTCACTTCATATGCAGCCGTGCAATTTGACTGTTTTGTTACGACTTTCGGCGCTCTAACGCTAGACTATATAAAGTGATCGTTCTTTCCTGGACAACTCGCACCGGCCGTCTGTATCCTGATATTCCAATCCAGTATTGTTTTGACATTGGACTCCTTAAAGCCAATAAATTATCAACGAATTTCCCTGCTACCTATACAAACCCCGCTTTGTCGATATATTGTCGCTATGGGCTCCAATGAACTAAATATCCCAACGCGTGCGACGAAGAGGTCTGCTTCGGCCTCCGAGGAGCCCTTAGGCAGTGAGGTTGCTCTTGTACGCTTGCTTTCTGTGACTACCAAACTTGGTTTATTCTCGCTAACATTGTGATACAGCCGGCCATGCCTCATTATCACTCATCGTTTTGTCTTCCTTACACTCACTACGCAATAATTTATCTCGACCACGAAGGCAAGCTCAAGACTTGCGAATCTCAGTCTATTCAGGAACAGAATGCCAGTGTGTTTACTTCGGAAGTCTGCCAGAATTTTCTCGATATTCTAGGCGAACGCATCGGCTATCACCAGCCCGCTCATCGTAATCAAAGCCGAATCCTGCTTACGGAGCCCCTGCTAATATTATGTTACAGAGGAAATAGCTTTATCTTTTCGTCGGTTGAAGCGACGCAAGAGGAAACCATCTGCCGAGTCTGCTTTCGAAAAGCCTTTGGATAAACAGGACAGCGAAAACCTTTCTACTGGTTCGACTGGACTAGTCCCTCTCAGAATTGGAGAACAACGGAAGGTTATGGATTATTATGAAGGCGCCTTCAATTACTTCCAGCAAATCAACTGCCGCGTCGTCGCCAAGGCATTTATCAGGTTCATCGAGCCGGGCAAACAAGTCAAACACCCTTACAATGGAGGCAAGCCACCCCCAGGGTCCGCCCCAGGCACTAAGGGCGACCCCGAAAAGACCAAACCCGAATGGTGGCCCCATACTGTAATACATAGGGAACCTGACCACTTGAGGAAAGAAGGTAATCTTCTCTATGAAGTGATATAGCATATCTCCTGCTGAAATCTTATCCAACTAGACCGCATCAAATTGCTACTTCACATTATCCGCGAGCTCGGTAGCCATGGAATTACTGCTGACAAGTTGAAGGAAGTTGCTGAAGTTACCAAGCGGGGCTTGAAGCACCCAAGCGACGTCGAGATCATCTATGAGATCCTTCGGGTTCGAAAGACGGAGGAACGATTTGAGCGACGTGAAGTTGGCAAGTGCCGAGTACTCCTAGAGAGTGCTTTTCGGTAGCTAACACTTATCAGATGCTAACACGGTCGAATACGTCATGTACTATAGTCCTAGCCCCACGGATGATGATGAGGTGAAGGGGGAGGAGGAGGAGGACGAGAAGGAGAAGGAGAAGGAGAAGGAGAAGGAGAAGGAGAAGGAGAAGGAGAAGGAGAAGGAGAAGGAGAAGGAGAAGGAGAAGGAGGAGGAGGAGGAGGAGGAGGAGGAGGAGGAGGATTATTTTGCTGAAACAGCCTCAGCGGCTGTTGGAGAGCCTCTACCAAGCAAGCAGGAACTGGCTACCCTGACCACAACAATTGAGCCTCTCCATTCGACACCAGCCTACTCTCTCCCAGGTAGCGTCTCTATGCCCAACTCTCTGAACTTCGAAATTGGCGGTCGACAAAATAATCCTTACTACACCGTGTCGTCCCAATACACCAACACTTTCTCCCATCCCACGCTCAGCACTCCCATGACTTCAAATATGACCAGTTCCCAGGACACTCCGGTCTTCGAATACTCCATTCAAAACCCTGTCCTAGCATCCATCTCTGTTCATGATCAAACTGGGGATCCAGGCTACTACGGGCGCAGGATCAATACAGACAGTGACCAGGACACTTCGGTCTTCGAATACTCCATTCAGAACCCTGTCCTAGCGTCCACCTCTGTTCATGATCAAGCAGGGGATCCAGACTACTACGGGCGCAGAGATCAATACAGAGAGTGACCAGGACGTCTCCAACCGAGCGGACTACGGTTCACCAGAAACCAGTCAAAGAGTTCCACCTCACCCGATGCGATACCACATATATATGACCCCTACGCATTTGCACCACAATCATTTTCAGATCCCGGGGGCTCGACAAGTCAAAGCTCTTTTTCCCTCCCAACAGGATCAGTGGGTCACCCAAGGGGCTGCCACTCTACCACACCGTTTAAAATTTACTGGCACTGTGTCGTCATAAAAGATGGGAGATTTTCTGTTTTATTGATGTTTTTTCTTATGTTCTTGCTTTCTGGTTTCACTTTTTTCCCACAGTGCAAGTCTTATATATTTCTTAGTCCCCTAATCCTTTTTCTCAATAGGTGAATTGGCTTTACGTGAAAAGTTAATGGACACTTTTACTTGACCTGGGAGGATTTGTTCCAGAGGAGTTTGACCGTATCTTAATTATCCGAGGAATCCTCTTAAAGCATGCAGTTTAGATGTCTGAATGATTATTTGAGACCGAAGTGGAGAACTGATAAACAACTAGGACATATATGCCATTGGAATATGCTACCGAGTGAAGGAGCAAATACCAAAGCGAGTCGATATGAATGGTAGTTCCATGGTTGGTTTACTAGACGTGAACATTATCAGAGAGCGTACTAGGCCATGGCAACATTTGAAAGTGCATACACATACTTTGATCCCACTTCAACTTCGACTGCAACAGTATCCCCCTCCCATATTATGTCGAGAATTACGCATCCTACTTCTGACCCAGTGGGTTAGTATATCAAATTCCTCACGTTGGCAAGGCCATTCAGAATACACACCCGGGTAATAATGTTGATATCAGCGGCAGTTAAGTTCAAGAGTCGGTTCACGTGGGCGAGGTCGACCATAGAACCACAGAGGTATTCCGTAATAGCAACTCGATTCCATCCCTCTTCTTTCAGCCAAAGGTGAGGGTTTTGGGTTCGGAGCTCGTTCAACTTATTGCGAACGGCAGAAACTGTCCGCGTGTATGATGGTGGCATATTTGTGAGGAGTATCCCCCGGATCTCCGCTCGTCGATTAGTTAAGATCTCTGCGATTGCCTCGTGCTTGTAGCCCCACATTGAAAAAACAAGAAGCACCGCTGTCTCCTCGTCCGTCCACGGAATGCCCGTCATTAAGTAGTACTTGATGTGTTATCGTGTAGTGAACAAAAAGCAGGCAGATTGGAGGGCTCTTTATCAATCTCATAGGACGGGCGCTCCGAATTGCGCTGCACTGATGCGCAGGAGCTGCGCAGGAGCTGCGTAGCAAGACTATCCATAGCACGGGGCGGCGACAACCATTCAATTTTTTTGTGACGCATTAGAATGGCGCTTGCTAAGTCCCCAAAGCCAGTCGTTGCCTGGCGCTTACGGATTGTGCTGTGGGTGAGAGTTGGGGATCAAGTTTCCGGGGATGTGAGCTTATCATATTCCAAGACTATTGGTTGAAAACTTGCTTTGAAAGCCCCACATCCAATCAAAGAGATAAATCCCAGACAAAGAAAATACAAACAAGTAGATCACAGTGGAGCCGAAGACAAAGAATCAAAGACAAAAAGCAAACAATAAAGTCAAAAACAGCGCCAGAAATGGAGAAAACATAGATAATCGTCTCATTGGTGTGATTACGGGAAATCGATGATGTTGATGTCAAACTCGCCATCGGTTGCGGAGGCCGGAGGCTCATCCTTCAGGTAGCCGAGTGCCTGAAGTGCATTGTGGACCTCTAAGACCCAGGGGTTCAGACTTTCGACTTGGTATTTGCGGATTTGTTCAAAGGTACTATGAATTCCATGATCAGCAACATGTATAGCGATCATGATATAGAATGCTCACGCTTTTAACGAATCTAATCTAAGTTGTTGTTAGAAAAGTGGAAAAAGACCATGGGGCATGCCTGACTCACTCCACCTTCATGGCTTCTTGCTGCGACCGCTGCGACTCGACTAAGAATTTTGCCCAGTGGGCTGTCTCCAACGCCTCATTTATCTCGGGCGCAGATGTCGGAATAGAATGGGCCGAGGGTGATTCATCCGATGGCTGGACAGGTGGCGTATTTGGAGAAGATGCCTCCTCTTCAATTGGTGGGAGCGGGGGGAAGGAAAGAAGGCTTTCCGGGTGGTCACTGATCATCGGGACGAGGGTTGGGTCGCAAAAGGAACTGAATGCCGCAATATCTGGCATGTCCTCTAGGTTGCCAAGAAAATTTTCAAACGGCTCGCTGTCAGTATTCTGATCCAGGCCTGCCAAGAGGCGCTCAAATTGTTCGTCGCTGAAGCTTCCCATGGTTGATCTAGTGAACAGAAGAAGCGTTGTGAATCGGAGGATTGCAGAGTTTCCACCTTTTAAATCTTGTTGAGCCACGATTCCCAAGCGGCCGTGCCGCGAAGATCGTGGTCTTTACAGCGGCCCCTTCCTGAGTCCAACATGCTGCCAACATGAGCCCTTGGCACATCCCTGTCTGTCACATGCAGGTGTGTATCACATCTCATCACTTTTAAAGACGAAGCGCTTCCATGAGTCCACGAGGTTTCCAGAACCCTTCTGTACACCTTCCTGGAGAGAAAATCGTTCCCCTCAAAGATTACGAGACATCCGCTGATTGCCGAAGGTTTGCATCTTGTGGTCCAATTCCTTCTTATAGATTCTGATTTCTTTTACAGCTATGGACTCCATAAATCCAGCGTGTGAGCTCCAATCTTTACGAAAAGCGCATGTGGAGAACCAAAGAACTATCGATGAATTGAAGAAGCAGATTGAATATCTGAGACAGACACTGGAGGACTATAACGCGACACTATCGCGATGTCTAGTTGCACTTGGGCAGAACAAGAAGTAAATCAGATATCTGCATACTTCCTTTTCCTCGGCCTCCCGGCTTGCTGCCCTTCACACATAGGACAACCTCCACGAGAGTTTAACTTATGATCAAGAGATCCAAAACTCCATTCCAGTCCTTGTTGTTCAGTGAACCATTGTATCTTGTTTGGGAAGGCACTGAGTCGGTGTGGCTCGCCACCAAACCGAAGTGATAGCGTGAAAGTGTCCTTCACGTCCCGGACGACGAATCGCACTGGTCGGAAGTATCGATCGCAATGCTGGCAAATATCCTCAGTCGTCAATTGAAGACCCAAGTTTATTCCATCTTTATAGAATTCCTTAGCGGTAGAATCAAGCTTGTCCAGACATCCAATTACATGCCGCGCTGGAGCTCGACAGCGAATTGAACCAACACATTGTATTAGACCAGAAAAATACTCCGGCTTGGCATCAAGGCGAAAGAAGAAAGACGTGGCAAGTAACGAGATGACCGCATCTCTCTGTGTTCGGTCACCTAATGGATTAGCGCGGACAAGCTTTGACAGCCTATCCATACATTCGGTATCGTCCAGTCTAGGTAATCCACCGGGAATAGACAAGTCAAAGCGAAAGTAATTCTCTCGATGGGTATCATCGACCACCCCCAGAAATTCCTTCCAGTTATTTTGTCCTTCGAAAGATGAAGAGACGGACCGATAGATACGTGGAAGCCACCCGTCCAGAAGTACGTTGCGGAACCGCGGGACTGTCGGAGAGAGGCTTTCAGTTTCAGATCCTGTCCCAAGGGAAATAAAAACATCGGGATTGGGGCAATTCGGCCACAGATGCTTTGCCTCTGAGAGAGCGAGGTTGATTGGATTGTTATGTCTTCTCATGCCGCCGTCTTGGAAGGATCCAACCCCGTCAATTTCAATAGTAGGAAACAAGCTATGGCATGTTAACACAGTGTCATTAAACCAACATTAGAATCTACTTACCATGGAACAGCAGCAGTAGCACGGGCTCTGGAATCAGTTTAGCGGCAATTGCAGCATTGGGAGATTGTTTACTTACACTTGCCAAACACACGGTTCGCTTGCACTGTCAGGCCGAAGCCTCCCATAAGCTATAGATATGTCAGAACAAAATAGGCTCGGATAGTATGACCAGAAATCAAACCTGATTGAGCCCTATGAGGCGCTGCCCCGTTGTAGTTGGTGAATATGAACGGAGCCCCCATCTTGATCTCGCTTGCGGATACAGCGACCTTCCCAGCCGATATACAAGCCTGTGGTGTATCAAACATACGCCTTGTCGCGCCATAATGATCCTGTAAAGCATCTTCAAGAGCTTTGACATCATACAAACCATCTGATAGCCATGATCGAAGCAATCGTTTCTTTCTTGCTGGCGAAAGCACCTTTTTAACCAAATCTTGAAATAGGGCATTGCAAGATGTGATGTCCATGCGAAGCATAAACTTTGAGAGTGCTATGAGCCCACCAGAACTGCAACCCACTACAAGATCAATCATGTCACAAAGGGATAACTCGGAACCCAAGAGTTCCTGCAGGATCTCAAGGTTCCCAAGTGGGATAACACCACGCGGTCCACCTCCATCAATGCTCAAAACCCGAGCGGCGCATGTGGCTGGCTTTATGCGAACCGTTAACGGCTTAGTGGCCCCACAGAGAGTACAGCGTGGAATAAGATACTCATCCTCTGCCAACAAAGAGATATCTCCGAATGTCATGGCACAGATATCACAGATGGAGTGACCGCAAGGAAGCACATGCTCTGGACTTCGTCTGATGCACACGAAACAGGTCTTATTGGATTTCAACCATCCCCAATACCTATTATGAGGTCTCAGATTGTCATCATGGACTTGGGCGGACTGAGTAGATTCGAGCCTCATGCATTTAAAAAGGGTTTCGACCCGTTTCCCAATTCGTTCGCATTGGAATTTCGCGAGCTCCTCTGTAATATATACTTCTCGGTGTGCTAGGTAGCAGATCTCGTGGTAAAGCTTTTCAAATAGTGCCTGAGGGGAGAAAACTGTCGTGTTGTTAGTAAGTGGGCAAAATTACATAAGGAGGCGCCACAGACAATGCATCCCTGGTGGATAGGCATCCATAAGGATAGCTGAAGCAATGTGGGAGGTTATGCCTTCATACGGCAGCGTGGCCTTTCCACTCAATCTGAGAAAGTCTATAAGATGGGAACTGAAAGCTCCATCGAGAGGGTTTTGCTGTCTTGTAGCAGAAATGAAATCAAAATGATCAGCAGGGGAAAGGCAGACATTTTTAGTGGCCAATTTAAATAGGTCGCTTAGATGAGTGGCAGAGAACATTACTCCGTTTTTTATACGGGTAAAGCGTGTGTTGTGTAGCTGCTTTGAAATATCAGCGCCAAGTGAAAGAAATCGAGCTTCGGAAGATAGCTCGTCTGACGGTAGACGGCAGAGGCGGACATCCGAGAATACTTGAAGTAAATCTGGATGAGCAGAGTTGAGTTCAAAAAAGAAGTCCGTCTCGTCAAGTATATCGTGAGTAACGCTGTGGGCTGTGTTGCTGACAACAATGATGACCCTTGGTCGTATGGCGCATGGAAGGGAAGATGCAGATCCAACGCGCACCCACTTTGATAACATATCATGCACGGCATTGAGCCCCCCAACATCATCTGCAAAAATACAAATCACGTCTACAAACATGAACAGTAACCGGCTCATAATAACGTCATGCGTCGAGCAATCCGGGGGCAACTGGCCCATCGACAAGACATGGTCTTCATGGCAGCTCCTTGTCCCCTCTATAATTGGCTGTAGGGCTTGCCATGTTGGGTCACAGTCAGCGAAAAGCCGGGGATGCAAAGCATGCAGTGTGCGATTATCAGTCCTGATATTCACGGCATGTCTCCGTCGTGGCCCTTTGTAGTTACTCTCACAAAGGGAACGAAGTGCTTTCTCTTTAAGGTGACGACCTAAAAAGAAAGTGATCTGGGGTGTTTGCTCTGAGGGGCTTGGCAAGCTCTTCGTAATCTGTGGAAGTCTCCAGCCATGGTTTATTAAAGGCCCTGCCTCACTTTGCCAAAACTCGAGCCATGCAGAATGATCGCATCTCGCCATGATTGAAAAAGATATGAGATTGTGTAGAATACCAGGAACTTTTTGTAGCGAGCAGAAGCTGTACCTTTATTTGTTTTCCTACCACGACTTTCTCGCACCACGACTTTGAATCTCGCACCACGAGTTACGACCTCAGAGAGAAATGGAACAGAATGTATTTCTCAGCCTTACAATAAAACCAAACCAATAGGAATCCTCATCCATATTAAATCAAAATTGGGCACCCTGCAGAATTTCTAACCCAAAAAAAAAAAAAAAAAAGAAAGAAATTATAGCGAGTCTATAAGAGCGGTTCCCTGTATGACTTGATTAGTGAATGAATTCTGAGAGCAAGAAAGAAGAAACCAGAAATAGTATGAACATAGAAGAAAATTGCGCTCTGTACCTCGGGCGTAAACATGATTGAGGGTTTCTCCGGTTCCATATTCACGTGTAAGGGACTGTGTATTACGTTAGCAAACAGCTGGGCAACTAGGGAGGGGGGAAGGCCGGGTGATCAATGAAGGGAGGAATGGTATGGTACATAAATTGGCTCGATTTCTTCCATTTCTTTTTTAGCCCATCAGAAGACCTTTGTCGCTGAACAGGAAGATAGGAATTAAATAAGGACGCCAGTTCCTCCCAAGTATGATGTGGGAACTGAGTTCGCAATGAGATCAAAAGGCTCGCTTCAGAAGCTGACCAGCGAGGTGGTTTCATCGTGCAATTTGAAAGGAAAGTAGCTTTTTTTTCTGGCTAGCAGACCTGCCCTGGCCCTGGGTCTATCCTGTTTATAACATACTGGACTCATTATGAGCTTGGCGCTAGCGCCGTAAAAAGGAAGGGATCAAGAGCCTTTAACGCCACCAACAACGGAAGATAGCTGGGCCTCGCCCGAGACGGTCGGCAATCTGTCGCGCGCATCACAGCTGAGGTGATAACCGGATTTGTGGAGCATACCAGCCATCACCAACACAATCATTCGCGGCAACTCTCTTTCGGTGGTAGCGTTGATTTACCCCCTCATACTAGCGGCTCTGCATATGACGCTAGTAGCGAAAACAGAAAGGTACCAAAAGCTCCTACAAGGGTAGATGCAAGCCAGAAACCTAGCCCTTGGGACTTTTGCCATCTTAAATTAGTGCGACGGCGTAGGCGCATAACGATAGCATCATGTGACCGCGATCTAACAGTACCTACATACAGCGTGGTTTCCCAGAGTTCAAGGTCACTGCCAATATCCCCACCCTCTGAAATCTAATGACTGGTTATTCCTGGACCGAGGAGGAAAAGGCTCTTGTAGTCTGGTTCGCATCTATCGGGCTCACTCACTCAACTATATCCCAACTCCTCCGGTACCGCAGCTTTGAGAGATCCATGACGGCAGTCCGGAACAAAATAGCTGAGCTCCGCAAGGATTTTGGACTTGGGTGTGCTTCGAATAAGCTAGACTTTTGGGAGGTCGACTGTTGGATAAGACAGTTATCACTTAACTGTGATCCCGCTTACTTGCTCATGCCTACACCGCTTGACCGACAAATTATTTTGGAGGTACGACTTGTGATATTGACTCAAAACTACGGACTAAGCCTAGTATAGTGCGCTGGAATTGAAGTTCTTCCCATTTATTACCTCCGCTATGGCCTTTCGGAAAACTATCACCTCTGATGTATTCAATATTCGCATCGACTTCACAGATGTGCTGATATATGAGGATTGGTGACTATAACAGCTTCGCACATCATTTGATTTCGTGGCGTCTGGTTCCTGTGCGTATTGTCCGAATCATAGTCAAGGCTTAGATCTTGAGAATGGGTGGTCGGGACACTCTCATGGCTTTTTTTGTTCGACCTTTTTTGGCTTCTGCTGTTTCTTTTTGTTGCTGAGTGTCATCAAAGCTAGATGGGTCCCAAAGTTCTGGTCTAGGCCAGTGGTTCATCTAATTAAAATGAATAATGTGGTTCTTCAAGGTAGGAGCTATTTGATCTTACCACGTCTTCAACATTTGGAATCCATTCCAGTTCAGGGTGGGAATCGTATGTTGCGTAACGAACCTGGGATTGCTTCGTGCTCATGACCAAAACATAAACACGCCGATCACAGCCAGTATCTAAACCGTCAACAAAAATATCATTTGCTTTCTTGAATGAGGACCTCTTGGCTCGATACCAGCGCATGCGATCCGCCCTTATTCTCTTGTGAGGGTCTGGCTGTGACCCGCGCTTTCTTCTGTTCTCTCTCCAGACAGTTGAGTTTTTAGCTGGTTTTGGCATTGCGATTGATTTGAGTCTTGATTTCTCATTGAGCCTTCTCCCTCACTTTATATCCTCCAACCCCTTCATCGAAACACGACCGAAACGTACTTGCTATTTTTGATATCAGCGTGACGCCCATACCCCTAAGGCGTTACGCCCATTTCCCCTTAGGCATGACGCCTTTTCCCCTGAGGCGTGACGATCATGAGTCTATCGGTGGGTCTATCATGAGTCCATTCATTCCAGAGTCCCGTGGCGATGAACCACAGAACATCAATTGAAAAGTCGTGGTGCGTGAAACTTATAATAAGTGACCTTGCCGGGCCAGACACACAAATCCAAGAACTCTTGACGATGTCTCCCGACATGGACGATATTGGACCGTTTCGTGTGAGCCAGTGGCTCCAGCCCATGGGAGTGGGCATAGGTAAGCTCACTTATCTTCAAGAGGAACAAAATTCTAATATTTTAAAGGTTACCACAAAGAGACATTCGAAGAAGTCTTTATCAAGACCGAAAGGATGGCTTCAACCCTGGATCACGAGGCCACAATCTTGCAAACCCTGTCTGGGGGCATTGGAATTCCAACACTCTATTGGTTTGGAAAAGCTTATAACCAAAAGACGATGATTACCGATGCGCTCGGACCTTCCTTGGAAGAAATATTCGACCGATCCAATCGATACTTTGACATGCCGTTGGTGCTAGAAGTTGCAAGTCAACTTATATTTCGACTTGAATGGATGCATTCACATCACATTGCACATGGTCAACTTAGTCCATTTTCATTTGCTATGGGAGCCTCCACATGGCAGACACCACAAGTGATTCTTGCAGACTTTACAAATGTCAATAGTTCTCAATTTTCAACAAAGAAGGACCTCCAAGCAGTGGCGGACATACTGGTCTATCTCGCCATAGGGCCTCCGTCATGGGATCTGTTCCAGGCGCGAAAGCCG